GAAGTAATTCTTCCTCATCTCTGTTTTAATTCTTCCACCCCTTAGCCTAAAATTGTCATCTCTCATTCTAAATTGCTCCAAAGGGGGCAACATCAGCTCCACATCTATTTTGTTCATTTCCTTTAGCATCTTATATACCTCAATTAGATCTCCTCTCATTCTTCTAAACTCTGGACAGTATAGGCTTAAACTGTTCAATCTCTCCTCGTAAGACAAACCTTTCATATCTGGAATAAATCTACCGACCCTTGTCTGAAATATCTCCAATGCTTCCATAAGTACAGGACAAAAATTATTGCAATACTCTGGATGTTGTTTCACCAATGCTTTGTACAGTTTACCAATAGGTCTGCATTTTTACACTCCACCCGCCCCTTCAGCAATAAATGCCAAAATTTAACTTGCCCTCATTATCTGCTGCATTTACATACAGCTATAGCACAGGGTTGGTTTTCTTCTGCAAAAGCATTAAACTTACATACACTTCATGACTGCTGTTGCTGATCTTACATTATGGTGTCACACTGTAAATTATAAAGGAAAATTGGCACAATGGTGAAAACCCATGCAAGTTGAAATTGTGTCACCATCAGTCAATGTTTCCTGAAAAATTTTAATGCAGTGTGGAAAATTTCACATGCTCAAAATAAGAGTTTAAACCAATCTAAAAATTCACAATGATAATTAATTCATCAACATTTTAAAAAAAATCTTTTAGTACCTATGGTGGTTTTTGGCTGAGGAAGACAACCATTCTCAAAATCTAAGGCTGCCATGTCATGACTTTGCTCAGAGATCCAGAGATGCAATGCAATATAGCAGATTTGGTCATCAGTCTGAACTCATCCAGCATACACAATTTAGAGTTATAAAGGTCTCCAGCATTAAAAAGAACCTTTGGTCCATCAAGTCTGCATGGGTCAAAAACAACAACCTAACTATTTTCCTGCCATTTTCCAACCCTTGGCCTCGTACGCCTTGGCATCACAAGTTCACATCTAAATACTTATGAAGACAAATGCCTCTACAACCCTTACAGGTAATGAGTTGCAAATTTGCACCACCGTCTGTGTAGAAGGTTTTTTTTTCCTACCATACCCTCTAACCCTATTGCCCCACTGGTCACTGATCTCTCCACCAGGGGGAAAGGTTTCTTCCCATCTATCCTGCCTATGATGTTCATAATTTTATACATCTGAATTAAAATCCTGAATTCTTTCCCTAAGGGCATTGCGGGTCTACCTTCAGCACATGGATTGCAGCAGTTCAAGAAGGCAGCTCATCACCACCTTCTCAAGGGCAACAGGGATGGGCAATAAATGTTGGCCAGCCATTGATGCCCACATCCCAGAAATCAATTTTAAAAATGTCCCTCAGTTTCCTGACTGAGTTTGTCCAATCTCTTTTCATAACTAAAGCACTCCAGCCCAGGCTACATCCTGGTGAATCTCCTTTGCACCCTCTCCAGTGCAGTCACACCCTTCCTACAATGTGAATTCTAGAACTGCACACAATTCTCTAGCTGTGGCCTAACCAATGTTTTATACAGTTCGAGCATCACCTACCTACTCTTAAATAGTCTTTCACAGGGTGCTCCATTTAGTGAACGCTGCTGATGCTGATGGTCTTGATTAGTGCCTCATTTTCATGCTACTGGTTTTTCTTCATAAGTATTCAAAGAAAATGCAGTAGAATCATGTTTAAAACTTTATTAATATTGATTTATGAAAGTTAGGAACCTTTCTTTTGAAAAATTATAACTGAATATACAAAAGAAGTCCATCATGAATTACATAACTATTCTAGTAGCTTGTTTATGTTCATAAAGTTGAGACAGGTCAGACAGGTAAGCACAGTCAAAAACAAGAAAGAAAAGTTTTGCCTTTTTTTATGCTCATGTTAGTTCAATTTTCAACTAAAGTTGAATTTGGGAGTGAATTGACTCAACCATGTTTGTTGACATTTAGAAAAATTAAATGCTAATAATTTCTGTTCAAACAAAAGTTTGTTCCAGATTATTGCTTCCAGAAGCTTTACCACCACCAAGATTAAACTGACTGGCCTGTAGTTGCTAGCTTTATCCTTACACCCTTTATATGAGCAAGATGTTCAAACTTGGGAAATATCTTTTGCTTAATCCCCTCCACATTTACCATGTGGGTTCGTTTCTTAAAAACTCTTTAAAAATATTGATGCTGAGCATAGAAAATAACTAGGAAGGCAGGACAAATGAAAAAAAAACTAGGAAGGTAGAGACAATGAAAAAAGACCAGCACCCAAAATAAGAAAAAACAAACTTTAAGAAACATATTAAAAATCCAAAGAATTGTTCAGGTAGAAGTGCCTGTACACAACATTGAGCAAAGGGTGAAGGTTTTCAAAAAAAAATGTCATCACCAGGACTGTAGGAGCCAAACAGACACTATTGGGGATAATGACTTAAAGAAAGCCATATTAAAACAATAATAGATTGAAAAGTACATGGTAGGCATCCAAGAATAATGAAAGATATTGAGATGAATTTAATGGAGCTACAGGAGCAAGCTTAAACCAATCATAAAACAAATTTCTCACCATATCTCAGTATCCTCTTCTTAATATACTAATCCAAGATTCTTTCAAAATGCATCAGTGTCTGCCCCAACTACTCTCTATTCCTTTGCTACCTCTAACTAATTTATATTAGTTATAAACTGTGAGTACTGTCTTGAATGGGAAGTTACATAGTCTGCGACGTGTCATAAGATACACGTTGTTACCTCAGGAAGCGTACAATGCGAGCAGGCAACCTGAGGCCAGAGATGAAAATGACCGCTTTTAAGAGCTGTTTAAAACATTGGGATTATTTATGCTGGAACAGGGAAAGGAGTATCACAGCTTTTGAAGGAAGACTGCATAAACCTATAAAACATAACATGCCAAGATATGAGGATAGAATGGAACAGATGGTTAGTCAGAGTGTACTCTTGTATCTCCAATAAAATCATTTCAATCCAACCTTCTCAAGTATTCTTCAATGCCTTACTATCCAGGCCTGCTGGCATTTCTACTTTTAGTTGCATTAATAGCAACAGGTAACTGGAATGTATTGTGGTTATTGGTGAAAGCATAGAGTCATAGAGATATACAGCACAGAAACAGACCCTTCAGTCCAACTCATCCATGCCAACCAGATATCCTAAGTAAATCTAGTCCCATGCTTAACCAGGATCATGATTCCTCTCACTTCAATTCAGGGCTAAAGGTTAGACTTTTGTTTTGGGGATCAGTGGGACAGCGACTCAAGAGTTGTAACCAAAGGTTCTTCAAGTCTTTTGGCATTAACTAAAGATATTCTTTATAAATGACTTGGATAAGGAATTGGAAGGGTGGCTTATTAAGTTTGCTGATGACACAAAGGTCGGTGGAGTTGTGGATAGCATGGAGGACTGTTGTAGGTTGCAACGGGACACTGACAGGATACAGAGCTGGGCAAAGAAGCGGCAGATGGAATTCAACCCAGCAAAGTGTGAAATGATTCATTTTGGAAGGTCGAATTTGAATGCAGAATACAGAGTTAATGGCAGTGTGGAAGAGGGGGATCTTGGGGTCCACATCCATAGATCCCTCAAAGTTGCTACCCAAGTCGATAGGGTTGTAAAGAAGACATATGGTGTGTTGGCTTTCATTTACAGTTTAAGAGCCACGAGGTTATGCTGCATCTCTATAAAACCCTGGTTAGACCACACTTGGAATATTGTGTTCAGTTCTGGTCACCTCATTATAGGAAAGATGTGGAAGCTTTAGAGAGGGTGCAGAGGAGGATTACCAGGATGCTGCCTGGACTGGAAGGCAGGTCTTATGAGGAAAGGTTGAGAGAGCTAGGGCTTTTTTCATTGGAACGAAGAAGGAGAGATGACTTGATAGAGGTGTACAAGATGATGAGAGGCATGGATAGAGCGGATAACCAGAGACTTTTTCCCCAGGGCGGAAGTGTCTATTATGAGGGGGCATAATTTTACGGCGATTGGAGGAAGGTATAGGGGAGATGTCAGAGGTAGGTTCTTTACACAGAGAGTGGTGGGCATGTGGAATGGGCTGCCAGCAGTGGTAGTGGAGTCAGATACTTTAGAGACTTTTAAGCGACTCTTGGGTAGGCACATGGAGGATAGTAAAATGTAGGGTTTGCAGGGTAGTCGATCTTAGTATGATAATAGGTCGGCACAACATCATGGGCCGAAGGACCTGTTCTGTGCTGTACTGTTCTATGTTCTATATTCTGTGTAAAGGCCCTATCAGATGGATGTGCACAATCCCATGGCACCAGTTTGCAGAGAGTTATCCCTAGTGTCAAGGCCAATACTCATCCTCCAAAAAAACAGTTTATCTGGTCATTATCACATTGGTGTTTGTGGGAGTTTGCTGTGCACAAATTGTCTGTGCCTTTCCAAAAACAGTGACTACACTTCAAAAGTATTTATTTGTCTGTGAGGTGGTTTTAGAAGCCCTGAGGTCATGAAATTTAATATATTAAAAACACGCCTGTCTTTCCCGGACCATTGAGACTGGGTTACATTAACAGTTTCAGAGGTAGTTCACCCACTTTGGAATAGCAGGATTCCCAGAAGATGATCAAGCCAGAGAAAAGGCAGGATTGGTGGGGATTGTTGGCGGTTCCATGATGGGGAGCAAACACAGGATTTAACCCACCTCCCACTTTATCTGACAAACAGCCTTTACTCACATTTCTCCAAACTTAACTGAGCGCAGTGAAAGGTCAATGTCAGATAGTCGACTCCATCGGCCTTCACAATGTCACCAAGATCTCATATATAGTAGGGTGGCTTAGCTGCAGAGATTCATAAGATGCCCTTGCTTGATTCAGGTAGTGCTTTGACCATACAGCAGCAAGTTCTAGCGTTAAGTCCAAACCTCTGCAACCATTCCATGACCACAAATTGTTGACAGATTGAGCTGTCAAAATTAACCATGACAGCTGAAAAAATAGTTACATTATATCATAATTTAATTGATTTAGTTTTATTTATATTCCCCGCTTCTTCGAGCAAGAATTGCTTAATTTGCAATTACGTAAATTCAATTAGGTATTCTGGATAAATATGGTTAGAGTCAAATATAACAAAAATCTTTGGGTTCTCTGTATTGTCGACACAGCTGTCATACAAGTTCACCAGACTTCCATCCTTTGAAGGAGGCCGAATATATTTGGGATCTCCAGTGGTATAGTCACCCACAAGAACCCGGGCGAGGAACATTGTCTTAAAATCCGATCGCCAGCGATGTGGTGCAGATAAGGATAGTGTCTGCAAGAACGGCTCATTCATTTCGGTGGTGCGGCAGTAACGGCTGGAGTACGAGGCGTCACGGGCAAAATAAGTCCCTGCGTAAGGATTCAAAACATACCTCAATACATTCCTTATTTAAGAATCCATCAATTACACAACATTACATGATTAAAGTGGGAAATTCTAATCAAATTTCCTGATATAATTGCTGCTTACCTTTTCCATAGACTGTAGCATGCAATCCATTTATTCTCCAGTCAAAATTTTGCAAACATATTGCTTCGACAAATTCATTGCCTGTGCCATGAAAGAGCATTCTCTCATTCAGCTCTATCCCATTTCTCATCTTTTTCAAGTGAATTTTTTTCCTGGCAGTGGAAAATTAAAAGTCGAAACATCAATTTGAAAACATAAAGCAAAGGATGTTGGCATTTTCACCATTTTATTCAACTCCCACCGCAGCTTATTAGAGGTTGAGGTCTGAAGCATGGGCGTAACAGACACTAGAATATAATTCATGCAGTAAAAAAAGACTGTTAGATTGTGGTGCAATGAAGATAATTACAAATTATCAAAATGCACGATTTGAGTTTAGTTAGGGGCATTCTGAATTGTGTGTATTAGTGCCAAATAGCACTGATTTATTACAAGTTGTGCATGAAAGATTTAGTGGAATATTTGAAATGAATAATTGTAGAAAAGGATTGCAGTATGCGGATTTTCAGGTGTTCAACAAAGTCTCTCTCTCTCCCTCAGGCTTCGAGTCTGAATGGAGATCTGGGCCTTTGGGTCCACACAGGGTTGGGAAACAGAAATAATCCAAGTCAACACATTGTCCCGATTTGGAAATATACTACAGTTTCTTCAAAATCATGGAACTCCCTTCCTAATAATAGTGGGGATGTCCCTACAACCCCAAGGACTGAAGTGATTCAGGATGGCTGCTCACTGCCAGTTTCTTGAGGGCAATTAAGGCTGAGCAATAAATGCTGAACTGGCTGGCAGTGCCCACATCCTATGAAAAATATTTTTTAAAAAGCTTCTGAAACTGAATTCTTTGTGCATAATCTAGTTATTGTCTAACTTGGGCATACGTATCCTGATGGGAAACCAATGGCATCAGGTATATCGGGACACTGCAAACTGACAGCTCCCCTCCAGGCCACACACTATCCTGGTTCCTAAGTATATCACCGTTTCTTCACTGTCACTAGTCAAAATGCTGCAGTCCCCTCCCTAACAGTGGGACTGGTATCACTACACCACAAAGGACTGCATTGGTTCAAAAAGACAATTTACCACTACCTTCTCCAGGAGCAATTAGGGATGGGCAGCTCTTGGCAGTGATGTCCACACCAAATGAAACAAACTTTTAAAAATGTATAATGTTGCTTCAACTGCACCGTCATTTCCAATTCAGTTGGCTGGATGGCTGTTCTGCAATGCAGAGTGACATGCCAGTTCAATTCCTGCACCAGTTAAGGTGACCATGAAGTTCCTACCATCTCAACCTTGCCTGAGGCATGGTGACCATCAGGTAAGAGCTCACCACCAGCCATATTTGTCCGATGAGAGAGAGCAGCCTACGGTTCTCTGTGACTATGGTAAGTTTCACTTTCACTTCAATTTATCTTATCTAAAAATAAGTACTGCTATAATCTATGGAAGACTGAATTTATTTAATTTTTGACAGCTTTTTCTGCCAGCAGCAAGTATCATGAAGGATGGTGATAGGGAGGAGACATGTGGTCAGATCTATCATTTGATAAACTATTGATATTCTAAGTTCTGCATGTTAAAGTTCTGTTGAACACCACAAAAAACATACACACATTTATCACAGATATCAATAACAAGATGGCTTTCAAAAATCCAAATTATATATTGAGGGCCTCTAAACTGGACTTGTGTTATGTTGCACATATTTCAACACTGGAACATAGGAAATAGGAGCAGGAGTAGGCCACTTAGCCCTTAAACCTCTCCCGGCATTTAATCAGATCATGGCTGATCCTTAACCTCAACATTAATTATCCATATTACGCCCCTCTATCCATTGATACCCTTAATAACGAGAAACCGAACCTTCTTTGTTTTGAGCACACAAAATGACCAAGCCTCCACATGCCTAATTCTAAGATTAATCACCATCTGAGTGAAGAAATTCCTCATCACAGCGTATGATTCTTCTGTCCTTATTCTGAGACCCTGTCCCTTAATTCTAGATGCCCCCTCTCCTACCCCAATCCCCTAGCCAGGGGAAACTTATATCTAGCCTGTTGAGCTCTGTTAAGAACTCTGCATGTTTCAATGAGATTCTCTCATCATTCTTAACTCAAGAGAATACAGGCCCAGTTACAGTAATCTCTCCTCATGGGACAATCTTAGCATCCTAAAAATCAAACTGATTAAACTCATAAATCAAAATTAAACAAACATTTCCTGGCAAGCCTCAGTACGACTATAGTCTATAAGTGGAGTTGTGGCTTTTTTTTCCAGAGATTCACACTAGGTTTATGTCAACCTTACAAAGGAACAGCAGTAGTTTCAAATTCCCTCATTAATTTGCACCATCCCACTCAAGTCTTTTCAATCCTCACTGAGTTCATTAGCAACCTACCTCATTGCAAAAGTACCAGAGAAATCACACTTCTTGAATGTATTCTAGTTCTGAAAGGGTAAAAGTCCATATGCAAACTTGTAGATGCAGTGGTCACAATTTCATAGGTCTCAGCATTTTTAAAAGCTTTTTTTGCTTATATCTGCATTGTATTTCCTATATCTTAATATTTTCAATGCTGCAAATTAAACGAGAAAAATCCTCCACAACCACATTTTCTTAAACATGCTGTTTACTTTGCATAAATGATGGTTCAGCAACTTCAAATATTAATTAATCCTACATCTGATTGAAAACAAAGGACAGAAAACCTCCTCAAGTCTGCCTGTTTATGCTGATTTACCCTCACTTTACAGTGGCATTTTTACCTTTAGACTGATGAGACTCTTGAAGAACTTCTGTTGGAAGTAGCCATCGGCAAGATCAACATAGAAGCGTCTTTTTTTTTGCGAGGCTGTGGGTCAGGGGAGGCAACAGCTGAACTTCCGGATAAAAACCTGCCAAGCAGGGCTCAGATTGAGCTCAGTTGGAGACCACTGAGCTCAGTGTAGCCGGAGTGGGAGAGGAGCAGATCAAACTCAGCTGGAGCAGGAGAGGAGTTCTGTCTGTTTCTGTGCTGTACTGTTCTACGTAAATTTGTAAATGCAAAGGGTGATGGTGGAGGATTACTTTTGTAATTGAAAGCCTGTGACAAGCAGTGTACTATGGGAACCAGTGCTGGGACCCTTATTATTGTTATGTACGTAAACAACTTTGACGTGAATGTAGAAGGTTTAATTAGTCAGTTTGCAAATTACACTAAAGTTGTGGGTGTTATTGATAGTGAAGCTACAGTCTGATATTGATCAGCTGGTAAAATGGGCAGATGGAATTTAAGATAACAAGGTGTAGAGCTGGATGAACACAGCAGGCCAAGCAGCATCTTAGGAGCAGGAAGGCTGCCGTTTCGGGCCTAGACCCTTCATCAGAAATGGGGGAGGGGTGGGGGGTTCAGAAAAAAATAGGGGGGGGGGGGAGGCAGATAGAAGATGGATAGAGGAGAAGATACATGGAGAGGAAACAGACAGGTCAAAGCTGCGGGGATGGAGCCAGTAAAGGTGAATGTAGGTAGGGAGTTAGGGAGGGGCTAGGTCAGTCCAGGGAGGACGGACAGGTCAAGGGGGCGGGATGAGGTTAGTAGGTAGGAGATGGGGGTGTGGCTTGAGGTGGGAGGAGGGGATAGGTGGGAGGAAGAACAGGTTAGGGAGGCGGGGACGAGCTGGGCTGGTTTTGAATTTAATACTGATGAGTATGAATTGATGCATTTTGGGAGGTCTAATAGGGAAGTATATATGCAATAAATATTAGGTCCCCAGGGAGCAGACAGGAACAAAAGGACTTTGGAGTACTTAGATCCCTAAAGGTGTCAGCACAGGTAGGCAGTGTGGTGAAGAAGGTATACGGAATTCTTGCCTTTATTAGCCAGGATGTAGAATGTAGGAGTGATGGTGTCTCATAACAACTTTATAAAATATTGGTTAGGCCACCGATGGAATACTGTGTGCAGTCCTGGTCTCCACACAATTAGAAGGATGTGATTTTTACTGGAGAGTAAAATCTGATTCACCAGGATATTGCCTGGGATGAGTACAGGCTGGATTTGTTTTCCTTAATTAAGGGTTATGGTGAGTGGGCGGGTAAGTGGAGCTGAGTCTCAAAGATCAGCCATGATCTTATTAAATGGCGGGGCAGGCTTGAGGGGCCAGATGGCCTACTCCTGCTCCTGCTCCTAGTTCTTATGTTCTTATGTTCTTAAAGCAGACAAGGCTGAGGAAGAATCTGATTGAGGGATATAATCTTTTCCCTATGGCAAATGTGTCTAAGACCTAACGGCATAAATTTAAGGTGAGGAGCAAGCGGTTTACAGGAGATCTAAGAAAAAAAATTACCCAGAGTGTGGTAGATATATGGAATGTGCTGCCTGAGAGGGTGGTGGAGGCAGGTGCTCTCACAACATTTAAAAAGTATCTGGATGAGTACTTAAAACGCCAGGACTTAATAGGCTACGGACCAAGTGCAGGTAAACGGGATTAGTGTAGTTTGGTGCTTGTTAGTCAGCATAGACATGATGGGCTGCTCACCCTTCTTTAATGCTGTATGACTCTACGAGAAATCAGTACACATTTTGGCACAGGATGGAGCAAAGAAACTCTAGCCCCAAATATGGGAAACATTAGTAAATACTATTATGCACAATCCTTAGATAAAAAAAAGAGCTTAAACGCACTCTGATAAATCAGTCAAGTGGATGCTGAAAGAATCAAAACAAGATCTTTGCTTATGTATTACCTGCAATAGAATTCCCATAAGTCTAGATTCTGAATTCTTTGAATTTTCTTGATTCGATTTTGATCCATTGACTGGCCAAAAAGTTTTGCGACTTCCGTGTATTCATTTGAAGCTTTGTGCAATGGGTTGAGCTAAAAACCAAATTGATAATTTAGTTTGGGAGGTTATGATGCACTTGTGGCTTTTGAAATAAATTGCCTGAATGTACCCACCTGAAAAGGTTTGTCTCGTTCTATATTATCCCAATGTAAAGGAATGGGAATATCTTCATTTCCACAAATGAAACTGAAAAGAAGCCATAACAAACAGACATTAAAAAGTTACCATTCAATGGTATAAACTGATAAATATAACACACATTAACCACACATGTCCACCCTTGGTGGGGAGAGGGTGAGACAGCATTTGTTCAGGCAGGACAATGGCCTGATGATTACACCATCACCTTTCGTATCTTTGTTCTAATTCTGGGACGGCAAGGCTCTGTGGTTCTTAATGTCCACGTAACAGCCTTGTTCTGCTGCTGCAGGTATTCAGCCATCAGGGGGCAGGGCAGTTACCAGGTGAGAATTCTAAAAAGCAAACTCTGTTAGGGCTACATGTAGGCATGGTCTCCTCGTTAACAGGCATTCAGTGTTTGATGTAGGCAGATCAGAATTTGTGGTGTATGTGTGTGTGTGCGTGCATGCGTGTGGGTTGTATGCTAAAAGCCACTCAACACTCCTCCAAAACCCGTATGTGTCAATGCCCCTCCCCCACTCACTTACCTGTGGCCTGGGTTCCTGTGTAATTCGAGGCTGCTCTCTGAGTGCATTGTCAGCAGCAGCCAACACTCCCCTGGGGATGCTGCCTAGACTGGACAGATACTGCCCTCTAACTGACCAGCACCAGTCATAGAGGGAATGGATTCCCACCCACAGGGTCCTTGATCCTGGAGAAGATCTGCTGTTGCCAACTGAAAAGAGGTACCTAATTCCGGAAAGCCTTCCCAAAAGGTGGTGATGCCGGGCTCTTACTGGTGAATGAAACTCCTGTTGCCTGCACTGAATGCTGCCCTTTCATTTAGTTATTCAGATGGGGAATTTTAATTGATTTCTCTGCATTTCTATATAAACTGATGCCTTCAAGAAGCAAAAAACTTGTTGCAGTGTAAAAAGCCATTGTACTTCAGTGGGAGCTCGACTTGGTCAGTAACACTGTCAGTTCTGTGGCAAAAGCCCCAGTCCAAACAACAACATGAACCAGTGTGTCTCAAACTGTGGACCATAAAGATTTTCCGGAGGGTCTGCCAGGATTGCTCAGCAGTCTGTGTAACTGTCAAGTTGAATATCAGCTGGGAGTGGAGTTTGATTACCACATGCAGAGTGAACTGGCTGTCTCACCTTGGAGGATGGCACGCATGGAGGAGTATAAAAGATTGCTAGCTCAATTTCAGTTACAAAAGTTGATGGGCAGAGTAACAAGGGGAGATTTTGTTTTGAACTCAAACTTATAATAAACTCAAAGATAGGGTGGTTAAAATATAAATCTAGGTATTGGCCCATAAAATGTTCTTTTACAGTACCTATCTAATACATTTTGTAAGTTACTATCAAATCTGCCTCCATTGCCTTTTCAGGTAACAAATTCTAATTCCTAATTCAGTATATTATTTCCTCATCTACCATTATTTTACATTATCATAAAGATGCCTCTCCTGCCAATGAAAAGAGTTATCCTATTATTTATCCTATTAATCTCATTATTTATCCCATTAAGATCTCTCTAAAATCTGAAATATCCATGCTAAATGTCATCTCTTGACCATCCCTGCTACAAGAGAACCAATCTTCAGCCTGTCCAGATAACTGAAGTCCCTTGCAAGACACTGGAGCAAAAGTAGGCTGTTTGCTCCACCAGTAAGATCATGGCTGATCTGATAAACCTCAATCCCATTTTCCTGCCTTTTCCCCATAAGTCTCAATTCCCTTACTGATGAAAAATTTGTCCATCCCAACCTTGCATATTCTTAATGACACAGCCTCAACAGCTGTTTGCAATGAAGAATTCCACAGATTCATTACCCTCAGAAGAAATTTCTTTTCATCTAATTTAATTATGTGACTCCCTACTCTGAGATTATGCCCACTGGTCCTACACTCTCCCACAAATAGAAGCAGACTCTTAGCATGTACCAAGTCAAGCCCTTTAAGAATTTTATGTTTCGATGAGATTCCCTGAAATTATTCTCAAAAAGTTTTCACATCATTCTGAAAGAATGGTGTCCAGAACTGATCCCAATATTCCAACTGAGGTCTTACTAAGGATTTTTAAAGGCTTAGCAAACTTGACCGTCTCCATCCCATAGTCATCTATTTATAAAGCCAAAACACTTGCATGCCTTTTTGAAAGTTTTTTCCAACTTATCCTGCCATCTGCAAATAGTCCTGCGCAAAAATCTCCAGGTGAGTCTGTCCTTGATCCCCTTCAAAATTCTGCCATTTCATTCATGCCACCTCTCCATGCAATTCCTTAATTCTCAACAAGTCTGTACTTTCACAGGTCAATCTTGGTTATCTTTTTAATGCTAAGGTGCCAATAAAAAAAACACTTTTACTGCCCATCATGTTTTATATGAATTTTTCTTAAGATTGTTTGTCACCCTTTCTAATTCCCTTTTCTGTTCCCCTAAAATTTTCAGGTTTGTAGGCATTTTTAAATTGTTTTTGTAACTTAATTAAATCTTCATTTGTAAATTTGACCTATCTTTATCTTCCTCATCTTCAAAATATTAACTTGCACTGTTCCATCTACCATTGATCTATGGTTCTCTGTTGATCGATAGTTAAATTAATTTAAAGGGTCTTCTCTGTATCGCATGACGGTTGACAATATTCACATGACGGCTTTAAAAGACTATGAGATGATCAATGTAGGTTTATAAGTAAGTTAGTAATTTGCAGCCAATTATTAGGAAAGATTCATCATATTTCTATAAATTCTTGCTGTCAGATTATACCGACCTGAAAGCAGTGACACAGAAGGCTGCACGTTTCACTGGTCGTTGTTTCCCTGTTTCTTTATTGGTTTGTTTCATTGCTGCAAAAGAAGGATATTCCGATCACTGGCACTTGCAATTTGTCAACCCAAATCTGACAATTAATACATCAATACAGCAGGTCTATCTCGAAAATGTTAGTTTGACCGAGAGACTCAGAATAGAGAATCATTGTAGATTGAATTTATTTGAAAAAAACATTAGGAATAAATGAACCTATCTTTCATTTCATTGGCTATTTCAATTACTTTTCACACGTCCAGTCAAAATTTGGTACATTGACCACAAATGCATTTGTCTACGGCTGATCTGATAATCCTCAGCTTCACATTCCTGCCTTTTCCTAATAATCCTTGCTTCCTTTACTGATTAAAAACCTGTCTATCTCAGCCTTGAAAATAGTAAATGGTCTGATCCAGCCTCGACAGCCCTCTGTGGTAAAGAATTCCCAAATACAAAGCAACTTTGAAAAATCCTAACCGCAGAAGTACAAGGCAGCAGCTGACTAAATAAATGAATCTATAAGAACATAACATCAAAGCAAGTATGTAAATGATTGAATAAAAGCAGAAAATTCTCAGCAGATCAGACAGCATCTGTGGAAATAGGCACAGAGATAATGTTTCAGATCAATGAAATATCATCAGGAAGGGAAGAAGTTCAGAGATATAACAGGCTGTGAGCAAATACAGAGGCAGAGAAAAATGGGGACGAGGAGAGACAAAAGGTGTAATGGGATGGAAAATAGGAAACAATGAAATGATAAAAGTCCATCAGCAGTACTATCACTGTAATATAAAAGCAAGACCGTACAGATGCTGGAAATCTAAAACAAAAATGGGTTGAAGACCCTTCACCAGAACCAGACCTGAAGTACCAAAATGTTAACTGGTTCTCATTGGATGCTAACTGGTCAGTTGATTATTTCAGGAATTTTCTGCCTTTATTTCTGATCTTCAGCACCAACAGTAGCTTGCTTTTTTTTAACTCATGGAACATGAGTAAAGAGAAACAGAAATTAAGAATTTGGACATTTTGACAGAGAAACCATAAAGGAGGGAATCTAATGTGAAGAATTAGAATGTATTACATTGGCGTTTGAGCTATGCTGCAAATGAAATGATGAAATATAGTGCGCACACAGGTATATGGCTTAAAACATCTGCCTAGTAGGAAGTAGCTTCTATCTTGCAGAAGTAAAACTGTTAGAGGCAGGGAAAAAGAACAAATTACTTAGCTATCAGACAAGGATTTAATTCTATCTCTGGGATCTCAGTTACACTTATAAACCTTTCAAGTTTTATCTTGACAGTAGCTTGTCAGCATCATAATTTATTTTTTACCACATTCCATTACTTCATGCAGCTTAAACATAAAACATATGCATTTCTCTCGTCAGCTACTGAGGTGCTGAGTCTATTGGAGCAGCAAGTCCCTAGTACCTTGTTCATTTAGATTCCATCCTTTTCTCTTGTTACTGGCACCGAACCAGACAATTCACAACCTGGCATCATCCTGTTTCACCTTGAGCTGACCCTCCAACTCCATATCCTCTCCAGTTTCAAGATCACCTACTTTGTAAATGACCTGACTGCAGCCCATCTCAGCTTTTCCACAGTGAAACCCTCATCAGTGCCTTTATCACTTCTAGGCTTGACTATCCCAAAGCACTCCTGACTGGTCTCCTACATTTGATCTTCTGTGACTAATTCAAAACATTGTTACTTGTATCCTAACTCACATCCTCCAGTTCACACATCACATCTGTGCTCCATTACTTCCATGATCACTTCATCCATCAATGCTTCATACTTAAAATTGCTGTGTTCAATTACATCCACCGCTGCTTACCCATCTCTTTGACCATCTTCAGCCCTACTATTCTTTGAGATCTCTACACCTGCCCAATTCTGTCTATTGTGCAGCCTATATTTTAATTGCTGCATCCTTGGCAGCAATACCTGCAATTGTCAGTGTCCCAAGCTCTGGAATTCCCTCCCTAAACCTCTCATTCTTCCTTTAAGCTGCTCCTTACAACAACCTTTTTAGACCAAGCTTTTGATTATTTGCCACAATATTCCCTGCATAGATGTGTCAAATTATGTTTGATAACAATGTGGCGATGAGCCTTGGGCATTTTACTATGTCAAAAGTGCTATACAAACGTAAGTCATTGTTGATTCATGCAGCAAACTGAATTATGAATAAACACAGAGTGTATGCATTTGTAAGATTGCACAGCAAGACAAATGCTGCCTATTCTCAGCAAAGCATCGAAGAACAGTCAGCAGTGGGAACCTGACCTATTCTCCAAACCTCAGTGTGGCAGTTCTTCTAGCAGAAAATGCTGCAAATACCAGGGGGTCAGGTAGTACGGAGAGAGAAACAGGGTTTATGTTTCAGGCGGACAAGCTTTCCACAGGTACTGCCCAATCTGTTGAGTAATTCTAGTATTTATTGCTTTTATTACAGATCTTCAGCATCTGCAATATTTTATGCAGAGAAGAGATGAAACCGAGATCTCTTTACGCTGTAGATTTTCAACAATATTCTGTTTAAACCACCAATCTTACACTGGCACTGAATCAATTTTCATTTGCATCAACCGTTGGTGCAATACATGAAGAGAAACAGATTATCTAGATGAAGATCTTTACCTTGGAAATCTAACGTGTAGTTGAATTTTGCAGTGGAAAAAGAAATAACACCTTGTGGATTCATTCTGTACATCATTTCAATATCTTCGCTGCTCACAGAACATGAAATATTTGGGTCCCTCTGAAAAAAACACAGAAAATCTAAGAAAACATAATTGATTTTTAACACCACCATGTCATCTTTGGGAAACAAAACAAAAACAAATCTTTCTGCAGTGACAATGTCAGTTCATAGTGCCATGTGATTGGCAGAAAATGACCTCTTAAAGCTAAAGTTTCTACTCTTAACATTATTTTGAAAGAAAAGTAGATCTTAATTTATTTGTAACACAAGTTTAGGATAGTATGAAAACAAAAGTTAAAATGAGATATGATTTGAAAATGGAATATTAAAAATGATAAGAAGTACAGGTTCTCAAACATGTTGACCCTTGCTATGGTATAATTCTATAAACCCCAAGAATATTAGCGCTTTCTAGAGTACAGTCCTACATGCTAATTGTATCAATTGAAGTAAAGTACGCATAGACAAAGGGCATTGATAAAGGTTACATGGCATCTATAAAGAGAGACTTATTGATATAGGTGTGGATTGGAGTCATATATTCGTCAGGTGCCACTCTGAATAAACTAAGTGAAACACTAGTACTAGTTTCTTCCTTCACCAACTGGCAATCAGGAGTTTAATACTGGGGTACTGATCAACAGCTGCTAACCGTTATGTCATGGCATGACATTTTTTTTTAAATTCAATCACAGGATGTAGGCATCTCTGGCTAGGCCAGCAATTATGGCCCATTTCTAATTGCCCAGAGGACAGTTAACAGTCAACCACATTTAAAGTTTCAGCAAAGATTTGTAACTCGGGTTGTGCGTGAGGTTGTTGACTTGCTTGCCGATCTGGCTTGTTTTCGTTCAGACGTTTCATCACCATGCTGGGTAACATCATCAGCGATGCCTCTGTTGAAGCGATGTTGTTCTACTCCGCTTGGAATTTATACTGTTGGTGGTCCGTTATGGTGAGTAGTGTCATTTCCGGTTTTGATCTGTATGGGTTTGTATATGGGGTCCAATTCTATGTATTTATTGATTGCAATATGGGTTGAAAACCATCTAGGAATTCCTGTGTGTGTGTCTGTGTTTGGCTTGGGCTATTATAATTATGTTGTCCCAGTTAAACTGATGGCCTTCGTTGTCCGAGTGTACTGATATTAAGGAAAGTTTGTCATGTCGTTCTGCTGCTAGCTGATGTTAGTGTATTCTGATGGCTAGTTTCCTTCCGGTCTGTCCAATGTAATGTTTGTGGCAGTCGTTGCATGGTATTTTGTAAACCACGTTGGTTCTGCATGTTGTGAGAATGGGGTCTTTAATCCTTGTGAACGTTTGACATAGAGTGGCTATGGGCTTGTCTGCTACCATGATTCCTAGTGGTCTTAGGAGTCTTGTTGTCAGTTCTGATATGTTCTTGATGTAGGGCAGCGTGGCCAGTGTGTTAGGGCATACTGTGTCCTCTTGTTGTTGTCTGTTTAATAGGCACCTGCGGATGAAGTTGCGGGGATATCTGTTCATAGCAAAGATTTTGTATAGGTATTCTTCTTTCCTGCATAGTTCTGGAGTGTTGCAGAGAGTCGTGGCCTGTTTAAATAGCGTCCTAATGCAGCTTTGTTTGTGGACATTGGGATGGTTGCTATGGAAGTTGAGGATTTGGTCAGCGTGGGTCGCTTTCCTGTTTACAGAGGTTTGGAACTCCCTGTTGGTCATACTTTCAACTCTGGTGTCCAGAAATGGAAGCTGATTGTTGTTTTCTTCTTCTCTTGTGAATTTAATCCCTGCGAATACGTTGTTGATGAGGTGGTGGGTCTCTTTAGTTTGTTGCATTTAATAATGACAAATGTGTCATCTATGTACCCGATCCACAGTTTAGGTTGAACGTGGGAGAGGGTGGTGTTTTCTAGTCTTTGCATGACTGCTTTTGTGAGAAATCCTAGGATGGGTGACTGCATGGGTGTGCCATTGATCTGCTTGTATACTTGACAATTAAAGACTAAGTGTATGGTGTGGTGAGGTGAGGCACAGGTCTAGTATTTAATGATCAAGTATAAAAACAGATCAATGGCATACCAATGGGGTCACCCATCTCAGGACTCATCGCAGAAGCAGTCAAGCAAAGACTAGGACACACCATTATTCACCGCGTTCAACCTAAACTGTGGATCTGGTACATAGATGACACATTTGTCATTATTAAATGCAACAAACTAGGAGTGACCCACCACCTCATCAACAATGCACTTGCAGGGATTAAATTCACAAGAGAAGAAGAAAACAACAAATCAGCTTCCATTTCTGGACGTCAGAGTTGAACGTATGACCAACGGGGAGTTCCAAACCTCTGTAAACAGGAAAGCAACCCACACTGAACAAATCCTCAACTTCCACAGCAACCACCCCAACGTCCACAAACAAAGCTGCATTAGGACACTATTTAAACGGACCACCACTCACTGCAACACTCCAGAATTAAGCAGGAAAAAGGAAGAGCACCTATACAAAATCTTTGCTGTGAACAGATATCCCCGCAACTTCATCCGTAGGTGCCCGCTAAACAGACAACAAGAGGACACAGTATGCCCTAACACACTGGCCACACTGCCCTACATCAAGAACATATCAGAACTGACAACAAGACTCCTAAGACCACTAGGAATCATGGTAGCAGACAAGCCCACAGCCACTCTACGACAAATACTCACAAGGATTAAAGACCCCATTCCCACAACTTGCAGAACTAACGTGGTTTACAAAATACCATGCAATGACTGCCACAAACATTACATTGGACAGACAGGAAGGACACTAGCCATCAGAATATACTAACATCAGCTAGCAGCAAAACTACATGACAAACTTTCCTTAATATCAGTACACTTGGACAATGAAAGCCATCAGTTTAACTGGGAAAACGTAACTATAGCAGCCCGAGCCAAACACTGACATGCATAGGAATTTCTTGAGGCATAGTTCTCAACCCGTAATGCAATCAACAAAAATACAGAATTGGACCCCATATACAAACCCATACAGATCAAAACCGGAAATGACACTACTCACCATAACGGACCAGACAGTACAAATTCCAAGCGAAGTAGAACAACATCACCTCATCGGAGGCCTCACTGATGATGTTACCTAGCATGGTGACGAAACGTCTGAATGAAAACAAGGCAGCTCGGCGAGCAAGTCAACAAACTTAGTCAATCACATTGCTGTGGTTCTGGAGACACATGTAGAAGGAATGCTGGATGGCAGGTTTCCTTCTCTAAAGGACATTAGTGAATTTAGATGGGTTTTTCTGACAATCAACAATGGTTTCATGGTCATCATTTGATCCTTAATTTCAGATTCCTTATTGAATTCAAATTCCAGCATCTGCTTTGGCAGGATGTGAACCCCAAAGTATTGGCTGAGTTTCTGGATTAATAGTCTAGTGATAATACCACTACACCATCACCGCTCTACTCTATGTATCAATACAATAAGTGTAGGCAAGATAATTGGTTATCCTACATGGTATATCACTGCCAGATGGGCCAAATGGATTTCCCTTGGCAACGTATGCTGGGCTTTATTAATAGGTGCATCAAGTACACAAGTAAAGAAATTATGCTCAAACTACACAAGACAATTGTTAGACTACATCTGGAATACTCTGCGGATGAATTTGCAGGGGTATTCGTTCATATCTAAGATTTTGTATAGGTGCTGGGCTCTATAGGAAGGATTCAAATACTTTAGAGAGACTGCAGAAGAGATCTACAAGGAGGGACCCAGGAATGAGAAACTATCAAATGAGAAAACACAATAGTAGAGTGTTTAGAAATCTATAATATGATCAAGCACTGCCAGCATAGCTTCATGAAGAGAAAATCATGCGTGACAAATTCTTTAAGGTAAGAAGCAGAATAGCTAATGGGATACTAGTAGATGTAATATATTTGGATTTGCAAAGGGTACTGCATATTAGGCTAATAAAAAAGAGTTCATGGTGTTGGAAGCAATATATTAGCATGCATCGAGTATTAACTAATAGGAGGCAGAGGGTTACAATAAAGGGGGGAGGAGCATTTTCAGGATTTGTAATTAGCAGTGTGCCACAGGGATCAGTGCTGGGGCCATAATCATTTACAATAAATATGAATAACTTGGATGAGGAAAGTGATAGTACTATTGCAAAATTAGCAGACAACACAAAGGTAAGTAGTGAGGGTTAAACTACAGGGAAGTATAATCTACAGAGCAATATAAACAGATTAATTGAGCAGCATAGAGTTGGAAGATGGAATATAACTTGGGAAAATGTGAGGTTATGCACTTGGGCAGAAGGAATAAAGGAGCTGAATATTACATAAAGGGAGAAAGGCTGCAGAAAGCTTCAGCTATGAGGGATTTGGCAGGGTCCTCATGCATGATCACAACTAGCTTTCATTCAAGTTCATCGGGTAATAGGAAAAGCAAGTGGAATGTTACTGTCTATATCAAAAGGAAATGGAGTACAAAAGTAGGGAAGTCTTGCTAAAACTGTAGGAGGCATTAGTTAGGCCATACCTAGAATACCATCCCCTTATCTAAGGAAACATATACTGTCATTGAAGTCCACAGAAGGTTCACTGAACTGTTTCTGGGAATGGAGGAATTTTTTTATGAGGCGAGTTTCAGTAGGTTGGATTTGCATTCATTTTAATTTAGAAGAATAAACCAAACTTAGTGAAACATACAGTGGTTCAAGTCTAGAATGCACTGCTTGGAAGTGTGGTAGAAACAGGTTCAATTGAGGTATTCAAGAGAGCATTGGATGATTATTTGAATAGATATAACGCGCAGGATTATGGTGAAAAAGCAATCAAATGACACCATATCATAATGCTTGTCGCAGAATCAGTGCAGACACAATGGCCTAATGGCTTCTCAATGGCCATAACAATTGAGAGAGTCTGGACTGCATGATTCTACATAATACATGAGAATTACTCAATTCTGTACTCTCAAAGTATTGGTAATTCAGCTAATGCACGTTAGACCAAGTATTGAATCAGATACTTTTTAAAAGATCTTTAAAGTTAATTTATAAGATCAGTAATATTGGCAATGAACATTTCACCAAGTTTAATATTGTTTCAGCATATTAGTGTGTAAACTGAAAACCAATATTCAGTTCAAGGAAGCTTTTCTATCCTATGCTAATGGCAGTTCAAGAATTAGGCAAAACATTACAATTGTTTGATACTTGTTTTGCTGTATAATTTTACTATGTTTCTCAGTTTAGAACCATAACATATTATAAAATGAAATTTTCGTGTACATGAAATCCACTCTTGCAGTGCCACTATCCGTGAAACTAAATTGAATAACTTGCTAGTTATTTGAACAGCTCATTTAAATGATTAAAGCTTGACCTAAAAAGCTCAATGAGATGTGATTGACAAATGAACAATGCTGCAACATCAATACCCACTCACCCAATTTTTATTTAATGAGTTGGTAAAACTGAGTCTGCAATTCCGAAAATCACGAAATTATGTTGAAGAAAATTCATCTGCAGGGAGTTTCATGTGAACAGGAACAGTGTGTCTATTTAACATTGAAAATATGACACCCGACATGCTTCACAGGATATAAAACAAAATAAGACACCGATCGACACAAGGGGATATTAGATCTGATGCTCAAAAGTTTTAAGATATGTCTTAAAGGAAAGAAAATGAGGTCAATAGGAAGAAGTAGTTTAAGGAGTTCCTGAGCTTAGGACCTTTTTGAATTTACTCATGGAATGCAGGTGTTGCTATCTGGGTTAGCATTAATAGCCTCTTCCTAATTGCTCAGAAGGCAGTTAAGAATCGATCACAGTGCTATGGGACTGAGTCATATGGAAGCTGAAGAAGTATGGTAAATTTCCTTTCGTAAAATCAATAATGAATCAGATGGGTTTTTATGACAATTAGCAGTAGTCAGCATTGGGTTAGCTTTTTATTCCAAATTTTTACTGAATTCAAATTTCACCATTAGCCCCAGTGGGATGTCAAACCAAGTCCTTAAAACATCAGCCTCAGGATCTGGAATACTAGTCCAGTGACAATACCACCACATCACTGCCTCCCTAGGCAGCTAAAGGCATGGACCACGAATAACGGAACAATAAAAATTTAGGACACAGAAGAGGCCAGAATTAGATGAGCACAGATATCTTGGAAGGTTGTGAGGATGGCAGCAATTAGAGTTGGGGAGGGATGAAGCCTTAGAAGGAGTTTGAAAACCAAGGTGAGAATTTTAAAATCAAGATGGGAAAGCAGGACTTACCAAAATAAAAGTTGGGACCCCAAGTAAGGTCTCACATGTAACTTTGGGGTCATGAGCTCCATGGCAGCAATGACTACAATGATTGAGTTATAACAGATAGGCCCCACACTTTCACAAACCCTCACCTCAATCTAGCAGGTCTACCCTCCCTGTGGTAATTTTCATTTAAGGATTGCAACAATTTTCAAACTTCAAACTGGGGTCATGGTGGGGGAATCATTTGGGAAGAACTGGCCTAAAGCAAGCAAATCAGTCCATGGGCACTGGGTGAATGGGATTTGGTGCTGTTAGGCCACAGGCAAATCTTTGGAGGAGTTCAAGTTCATGTAGAATAAAATGTGGCAGACCAGTCCAGAAACTAGAATTTGTTTTCCACAATTTTCAATTGTGCATGTTGGCTCACATTTTTTTAATTTTAATAACTGCTTGTTATTAAAGGAAAGGAACAAAATAATAGCACACCTCAAAAATGTGCCATTTTCCACATTCACCCAAATAGTACCAGTTCCACGGTGTATCAGATGTGTCCATCTCCTCCACACTGCCCTCCTCCATCATTGAAGCATATTCCTCTCCAGCCATTGTATAAATTACTGTATGATTGTTAGCTGCAATTCAAAATAATGAAAATATTACTGAGCTATTTAAAAATGTCCTAATGTCACTTCTTGGCTCAGTAATAATCAGACTCAAAGCTGGGAGACTGTTGCACAGATGTCTATGTAGTGCTGCTAAAATGGTATAGAGAGGCTGAGTGGGGGAAGCTCTGAGCTTCCAAATTTTGCACAAGGATCTATTACATCCCAGGTCTGCTAAAAGTGCAAACATTTTGAGGTGGTTGCAATTTAATAGCTCAGGTCACCTCCCTAAAACTGAGTCCCTTTCAGGATTTTGCTGCCAGTTTCAACTTGCTGAATGTTGCTCTTACTATTCTAAAACCCACCCCCAAATTCTGGAGAAAAGTGATATTTAAAGACCTCCTCACCTTGGATGAAGACAAGGACATGGTTAGTTGTATTAGACTGTTTTTAGGGCAATTCTATTACTGAATGAGGTGGCTGCAAATATTGCGGTGGTTGGTGAGGTGGCGAGCAAGGGGAGGGTAGGTTGGATGTGTGTATTGGTGTTCAGAGTTAATTTTTGTATAGAAAGTCCTGCACAAACTCTGATGGTGTGCTGTTAAACATACCCCATGCACGCATGGGGTGTTCAATCTATTTTTCAGGGTCTGAAGGATCAATAGGAGGAAAAACATTGTGAACATGGACTTGGAGACTGCAACAGCAGGAAGATGAGGCTTAAGGGAGAGTAGCAGGTCTTACCTCATGTGAGTTTACAGGAGTCACCTGTCAAACGAAAAACAGGTAATCTCTGCCTGCCGTGCTTCACCAAGGAAGTTACACTAAAAGTGCCACAACATCAAGTCATACATTTCACAGCCCAAAACTGTAACAAAGACTGTCAGCCTCAATTCCCAATGGCCATTCAAGGTCACAACACTGACAATGTTCAGTCAATATGCAGTACAAGCAAGCATCAACATTAAGGATAGGCTCTTCACCAAAGCAAATAACTTCACTTGCTTTGTGGATGAAGTAAATCAGAATGATCAAGCTCTGGCTTTGGTCAGGATTGTGCACTTGCCCCAGGTACAGAGCCTATGGTTTGGTTCCATAGCATAAAGCTTCAGAGTATTCGTGAACATAAACAGTCTCCATTCACTGAACACACAGCACGCTGTGCAAGTCTATCCAAATCTTCAGAGTATTATGGGCAAGCTCTAAACTGGAATTATTTGACATCATCACTGCATCATCCCCTCCCTCATACATTCTTTTCATTTATTCATAGGACCTGATATCATTGGCTGGGCCAGCATTTATTGTCCATCCCTAGTTGCCCATGAGACGGTGGTGATGAGACATCTTCTTGAACTGCTGCAGTGCACTTTCTGATAGATTCCAAATATTTTTGCCAAAACAAAAAAAAAAGTGTTTTTCCTTAACTACAAATTCATTACAAAATAAAGCAGAAACGAATACAATAGTACCTGGCAACACATTACGTATATTTATTAAACAAACCAACAAATCCAAGCCATGATGAAAAACTCTGCCAGAACTCCAAGTCCTTTATTTAAAAGCATCTGCAAGTGCAATTATTCAAGATACTAGTCTTCCACACTGATATCAATTTACATGACGAAACGTCTGCAGGACTATGTACTGTTCTGGGCATTGTATCTTAGAAAGGTTACCCTGAGATACTATGTAGGTTCCCTGGAATGTTGGCAGAGCTCCAGTATTAGATTGTGATGACAGATTACAAAGACTAGGCTTGTAGATCTCAAAATTTAAATGTTTAAGAGTAATTTGATTGAGGTCTTTATAGGTATTTTGATAGGAATTGATATGGCACAAAAGAATTATTTTTCTGTTGCTGAGGAAGTCTAGAACAAGGTTATATTACCTTAAAATCAGTGTCAATTTCAGAAGCATTTCTTCACACAAGTGGTGCTGGAAGTGTGGAACTCTCTCCTATAAAAAGCAGATGAAGCTAACTCAATTAAGAATTTTATATCTGAGATTATTAAGATTTTTTTGATAGTGGAAGGTAATAAGGAATACAGAGCTAGCGAAGGTAGCTGGACTAAGGATACAGATTGGTTTCAGTGAAGACTTCAATAATCATTTTGGGATACTGCAAACACAAATAATAAGACTGGTCTGCAAAGAATGGTGAAGATATTTCCTATCTCCTCTCAGCTTGTACATGGATGGCTCCAATTGTCCCCCTGTCATAACTATGCATCTCATCTATAAAAACTCTTCCAGATATAACACAGTGTGGAGCTGGAGGAGCACAGCAGGCCAGGCAGCATCAGAGGAGCAGGAAAGTTGACGTTTCGGGTCGGGACCCATGTCTGAAGAAGAATCCCGACCCGAAACGTCAGCTTTCCTGCTCCTCTGATGTTGCTTGGCCTGCTGTGCTCCTTCAGCTCCACACGGTGTTATCTCAGACTGCAGCATCGGCAGTTCTTGCTATCTCTGTGTGAGTTATAACCCCACTGCGAAGCCCCCATTTCTGAAGAAGGGTCCCGACCTGGCCTGCTGTGTTCCTCCAGCTCCACACGGTGTTATTTCTGACTCCAGCATCGGCAGTTATTACTATCTCGAAACACAAGTTCCAGTTTGTTTCCAAGAAAACTACAGGAGTCTTGGTGGAAGGCTGAAGCTGATGAGCGGCAACGTCTAACTGACAGGCATTGTGTTTTTATAGTGTGCTGAAGGCTGTATATCGGCAGCCGACAATGGCCTTGGCCCTTATTCTACCTGCTGATGGAAATTAGGTTATTTCCGAGATAGCAGCTGTAAGGAAAGGTCGCGTGAACATGTCACCAAGCTGCTGAACAGACTGATCGCATCATATCGAGCAATTGGCTGAGAAAGGCTGTCTCTTCCTCATTCACAAAGTGACGGAGAGAATGCAATCAACAAAACAAGGGAAATCTCAGGTCCCATTTGCAGCAGACATTTGGAAATTGTAATATTACAAAAGTTTGTTAACAGACCTATAGAGATCTTCAAAAGTATCTGGCAGCAGGTCCTCAACTTTGTGAACCTTGTCCGCATCTGAAAGCGGGAAGGATCCAAAAACGTTTGCAGCAACTGCTGAGGAAAGCAACTTCAGTCAAACATAGTAAAGATTCTATTAAAATTTCAGGAGACAATATGTAAATCAGGAGACAATATGTAAACCATTCTCCAGAAAATCTATATTAGATCGGTTGGCTATGCCACTTCACCTGACGAAGGAGCAGTGCTCCCAAAACTTGTGACTTTTTTAGTGTTGGACTATAACCTGGTGTCATGTGACTTCTGACTATGCCCTGAAGCAGATCTTCTGTACGATCAGCCCCGGGACAAACAACATAAAATTGGTCAGCACATGCATCACAAAGATACTCGAAATAAAACAGGTTTCCGCTTTGCAGACCGGTTCTCTTCGAGGAGCTGAGAGAACAACGAGGAAGTAAGCCCGGAAATCTCTGCCTCTGTGTTGGTTCGAGGACCGCACAGGTCAAACTTGTCAATGTCCTTCGTGGCCTGAGGAAGGGCTCGGGGTGGCACCTCCAACCTGAACACTGACAAAGGAGAACACGAACTGCCCACCAAGCGGGCACCTCCCGCAGAGTCCTGCAAGTCAGTGATAGGAGCCACAGGAGAGGAGGAAATGATCCACAAAATGTGACATGGCACAATAGTGAGGAAGTCACCGCCTTCATGATCCCGATGAAGAGGAAGACTGACTTTTCCTTGCACTGAGCTGTAGGCCGAGTCCATCTTGGGGACTATCCCCACCCCGTCAACCCAGGAACTCCTGACATGTTCTTTAGGAGGCGTCGGGGGGGGGGGGGGGGGTCTCTACCTGAGAATACACTCACTCATCCCGGGCTCCGCCTCCCTGTCCAATTGGCCACTCCGCCAGGCCGGGACTCCAGCTATCCCCCCTTCCCCCCGCCCCAAACCCCCACCCGGGGCCGCTAGGTGGGGGCCTGAGCCGAGGCCCAGCTTCGGGCGACAAACCAACAGCTTTCTCGCTCGATAGTTACCCGGGCAACGCGGCCTTTTTGCCGGATGTTTTCGTGGCTGGGGGCGTGGCTCACCCCAACGTCACATATCTTCACCCCCCGCGGACACGCCTCTCCAGCGATGCCCCGCCCATTTGTTCGGCCCTCCCGATGCCACGTCCCTTCCATGAGGCCCCGCCCTTTGCCGGCCCACCGCCGCCACGCCCCTTTACCGGCCGTCACAAAACCACGCCCATTCCACGAGTCCCCGCCCGTCGCCATGGGCCCGCCCCCATGGGCCCGCCCCCTTGAGCTCCCCACCTCCTGAGCGAGATATGGGCGGTCCGCCCTGAGAAGGAACATGTCTTAAAGATCAGCCCGCCTCTTCTACTCGCCAGGCAGTCATTATTCCAATATAGAAAGGAGTTACACATGGGGCCCATGGGGAAATCAGACAGCAGACCAAGTGGGGAATCCCTGTCTGACACCTACACAGCATAGAAGAGTGACCGATTGACACAAGACAGAGAGTTGGGATAAAGGATGGCAGCCCGTAACTAATACAATTCTGCAGGGTCTGTGTTAGGACCACACAATCTGGGCAAAGGAACTTAGGGCACTTTTGCTAAATTTGTAATTGACACAAAGACAGGCAGAAGGACAGACAGTGTTGAGGAAGTGGGGAGGCTGCAGAAGGACTTGGATATGCTAAGCAAGTGGTCAAAGAAGTGACAGATGGAATGCAATATGGGAAAGTGTAGAATTATGCAGTTTGTGGGAAGAATAGAGGCATGGACTATTTTCTAGATAGGGACAGTCTTTGGAAATCTGAATCACAAAAGGAACTTCGGAGTCCTAGTTCAGGATTCCCTTCATTGACTTCGTTGACTTCCTAACTGGCAACTGAACTCTGCAACATTAAAATTTATTTTGAGAGAACTAGAATACAAGAGATCTAAGGGATCTACAGGTAAGTCTGTACGAAGCTCTGTTCAGACCGCATTTTGAATATTGAGAGGGGTTTTTGACTCTATATCTAAGAAAGAATGAGATGGACCTGGATGGGATCCAGAGGGGGTTCACAAGAATGGTCCCAGGAATTAACTGCTTGACACACAAGGAGCAGATAAGAACTCTGGGTCTGTAACGATGGCATTGAAGGAGGCTGAAGGATGAAGGATTTCATTGAAATTTACAGAATACGGAGGACGCCTGGAGAAAGCAGATATGGAGAAGATGTTTCCACTAGTGGGAGAGAGTAGGACCCAAGGGCACAGCCTCTGTTTGAAAGGGTTTGTCCTTTCATCCATGATAAGGAGGAATTTCTTCAGCTGCAGAATTGCAAGTCCATGGAACTCATTGCTGTAAAAGGCTGTACAGACCAAGTCAGAGTGTCTTTAAGACAGATAGATAGGTTTCTTAAACAAAACTTGGAGAAACTCAACTGGTTTGGCAGCATCTCTGAGAAGAAAGCAGAATTAATGTTGAGTCTGATGATAGTCCAGTGACGCTTCATCAGAACTCAAAACATTCACTGTTTCTTTATCATCAATGCTGCTAGATCGGCTGATCTTCTCCAGAAACTTTGTTTTTGTTTCAGAATCTCCATCCACAGTTCTTGGTTTTAATATAGTTGGGTTCTTGATTATAAAAGGGGATCAAGATTTACAAAGAGAAGACAGGAGGATGGGGCGCAAGAAATGCATCAGTCACAGTTGAAAGGCAGCGTAGATTCAACACCCTGAAAAGCCTATTTCTGTTCCTATATCTATGGTCCCTGTCACTGCTTCACACCCCCAGCCTACCCTAATTTACCATAGAATCCCTACAGTGTAGAAGTAGGCCATTCAGCCCAGTGAGTCTGAATGGCATCCCACCCAAACCCACTCCTTGACAGTATCCCTGTAACCCTGCAAGTGTCCATGGCTAATCCAATTAACTGCACAATCGCTGGACAGTATGGGCAATTTAGCACTGCCAATTCATCTAACCTGCACATCTTGGGATTCCTCCCATAATCCAATGCAGACACAGGAAGAACGTGCAAACTCCATACAGAGTGGCGCGAGGATGGAATTGAACATGGGTCCCTGGCACTGTGAATCAGCAGTGCTAACCACTGAGCCATTGTGCTATATTTGTAAGAAAGGCACCCTGATCATCATGATAATTAAGTATTTATTAATTAGAGATGAATAGCATGTTTTATATGACCATGGTTTTGGAGAATATAACAACATTTCTAATGATTGAAAAAATTATAGTTATTTATTATTTAAACTGTTCACAGGATGTGGGGGTCACTGGCTGGACTAACATTTATTGCCCGTCCCTAATTGCCCAGAGAACATTTGAGAGTCAACTACATTACTGTGGGTTTGGAATCACATTAGGCCAGACTGGGCAAGAATGGCAGATTCCTTCCCTTTTGTATCAATCCAAGCCAGCCTGGATTTAACAACTCCTCTGGGAGTCGAGCACCTCCGACTGCACAGGACTTCCTCAGTTCAGCACTACCAGTTTTACTTTGTGGTGTTTTTGCAAGAATGTGATTTAAACCCAGAACTTTGCAGCTTAGAGAAATCTGCTATAGCTGACATTCATAAAAGGTGGCTGGTGGGTATAGAACAAAAATTTGCAAATTATTTGACTTTTCCACCAGAAATATTCTACTTTCTTGGTAAAGCCCAGATTCACATAAAGAGTAGTCAGGAAATATACAATACAGAAAAGCACACAATCAATTCTCCTTTATTTTAACACAGCACTATTGATACATGAATCTGAATTTATATAGGTTGAGGTTCCATGAGCATTTAAATGGCAGAAGTTGCCCATCCTTCAATCAAGCACGAGCAATTCTAGACTGTGTATTTTGAATCCTAATCCATTTCATTAAAACAACTGCAAACAACATCAGCAGTGTCATTCCCATTAAACCACCGGCTAACCAAAGAAGCACTTTCAAGTCTTGCCCTGTAAATCAAAACAGAGAATAAATTTATTAGCTTAAGTCACATGAAAAAGTACCCTCCCCCCCAAAAAAAGGGACATTTTTCATTGACAAAAATAAACCTTTAGCTCCTATATATGTTGTCATTTAAGATTTCATTACCCACCCACCCCCCAGAGCTGTTAACATAAATCATGGCTTAGTGGGAGGACTGTTACAAAGTCAGAAGGTTTCGTTAAAGTTCAACTTGAAAGACTTGAGCACAAGAGATGTACACAGATACTCCAGGGCAGTACTAGGGAAGTGTTGCACTGCCAGAGGTGAAATATTAAACAAGGTGCCCCCTCAGCTAATAGATCCCACTGTGCTGTTTTACAGGAGATGTTCTGTATACAGTCCTAGACAATATTTATCCCTTGGAACAAAGATCAGCATATTTGGTCACTGTCAGAACTTGGTGTGGCAACTGACTACTGCATTTCCCACATTATATAGTTATGACAATAAGTGTTCGACATCATGAAAGCTATTGTTAAAAATTGAAGTCTTCCTTTTAAGTTTCCCACTAATTCTTTGTTATGCACATACTAAGTCTGCATTTCTGTATACTCATTCATTTAGGCCTTCCTTAAAACTTCCTTCAATGACCAAATCTTTGTCCATCTGTCCTATTATTTTTGTATGTCCCCATCTCCAATTTTGCTTCATGATACACTTTTGGTTGTTCCTTTAAAAATGATGGCACATACTTTGACAATAATATGCACACAAAAATAATATTTAAAAAAAGGGGTGAAAGAGCAGAGGGATCTGTGTGGATATGTGCACAGATCACAGAGGGTGACAGGATGGATGGAGATCAGTTTAAGTATACAGCAGCATCCTAGGCTTTAATTTATAGGGACAGAGCACAATAGCAAAGACGTTATGGTGGAATGCATAAGACACTTCTTAGACATCATGTGGATGGATCCAAGGACGAGAAGCTTCATTTGAGGATAGATTGGGACTTCTGTTGTTCGAGAAAAAGGTAGCCGAGAGGTGATCTGATAGACAGTCAAAAATCATGAGGGGTCTGTGTTAACATCCAAGAAAGACCAGGATCTTTACTATGGAGGTGTTCACACAGGCAGCAAAAGGTCAGAGAGCTGTCTGTCCACCCAAAACCATCAATGATGTTGTTGGTGTCATATGATCAAACTCAGTGACAGTCCACTTTACTTACACAAATACTCCCTATCTATACAGACGGTTGTGTAACTCAAAAAGATAGAGAATGACAGGACACAGAATTAAGAGGTGATTTGCAAATGTGACCACAACACACACCCAAAAAAAGAGAGAGTCTGGAATGCACCATCATCTTGAAATGTGGTGGAAGCAAAGTCAGCTGAGGCATTCAAGAGAGCATTGGATGAATATTTGAGTTGAAACAGTATGTAATGTTACAGGGGAAAAGCAAGAGAATGGCACTAAGTTATAATGCCTGTTGGCAAGCCCATGCAGACAATACAGGCTGAATGGCCTTCCTTATATGCAATAACAATAGAGATTCTATGACAGAGGATGCTACAAAAGTTGTCATTGTTGAAGCAGCTACAGAACCTGTTTTTCCCTGTAACATTTCATACTGTTTCAACTCAAATATTCATCCAATGCTCTCTTGAATGCCTCAGCTGACTTTGCTTCCACCACATTTCAAGATGATGGTGCATTCCAGACTCTCTCTTTTTTTGGGTGTGTGTTGTGGTCACATTTGCAAATCACCTCTTAATTCTGTGTCCTGTCATTCTCTATCTTTTTGAGTTACACAACAGTCTGTATAGATAGGGAGTATTTGTGTCTTTGCTTCCATCACAAACTGTACAAAGTGTCACCTAAGAATTCGTTATACGCTTCTAAATCTCATGGATTAACCTTACAATTCATGCTGTCTATTCAAGGCAGCTTAATTACCAAGTAAACAGTTACCAAATCATCTTGTAACATTGAAACAGAGTTGTCAAAATCTGGAACTTTCGACCTGAAAAAGGGAGTGGAAGCTAATGATTCTGGACAGGCACACAGGTTGATGAGCTTAGAGTTACCAATAAAACAGGCGAGGGTGTAGGACCAAGGACAAATTTAAACAAAACAAAATTAATCAAATATTAGGAATAAAAGAGGCAACAGATTTAAAGTTTTTTTTAAAAAAATTCATTCATTTATGGGATGTAAATGTTGCTAGGTGAGCCAGCATTTATTGTCTATCCCTACTTACCATTGAGAAGATGGAGAGCTGCCATCTTGAACTGCTGCAGTCTATGTCAGAGTCACAGAGTCAAATAACACAGAAATAGACCCTTTGGTCCAACCGGTCCATGCTGAACAATCCCAAACTAAAACTAGTCCCACCTGCCTGCTCCTGGCCCATATCCTTCCAAACCTTTCCTATTCATTTAGTTATCCAAATGTCTTTTAAACATTGTAATTGTACCCACATCCACACTTCCTGAGGAAGTTAATTCCACACATGAACCACCGTGTAAAAAAAAAAAAATTGCCCTTCATGTCTTTAAAATCTCTCTCCTCTCACCTTAAAAATATGCCCCCTAGTCTCGACATTCCCCATCCTAGGGAAAAGACACCTAGCATTAACCCCACTTGTACCACTCATGATTTTATAAAAACTTATAAAGGTCACCTCTCAACCTCCTACATTCCAGGTGAGAAAAGTCCCAGCTTTTCTTTATGACTCAAAACCTTCCACACCCAGTAACATTCTGGTAAATCTCTTCTGAACTCTCTCCAGCATGATAATTATCCTTCCTATAATTGGACAAATCAGAACTGGACAAAATACTCCAGAGGAGGCCTCAATGTCCTGTACAGCCTCAACATGATTTTTCAACTCCTATCCTCAAAAAAGAACTAAGCAATGAAGGCAAGCCTGCCAAACACCTTAACCAACCTATAATGCGACACAAACAAAGAATTATGTCCCCAAACCCCTAGGTCCCTCTGTTCTGCAACATTACCCAAGGCCCCACCATTAATTGTACAAGTGTTACCTGTTTGTTGTACCAAAATGCAATACCTCGCATTTATCCAGATTGAACTCCATCTGCCATTTTTCAGCCCATTGACCCTTTAGGGCAGGAGTTCCAGGATAGTGACCTAGATGACGCTGAAGGAACTGTGAAACGTTTCCAAATTCGGATGGTGAATGGCTTAGAGGGGAACTTATAAGTGGTGGTATTCCCAGGTATCTGCTGCCTTTGTCCTTCTAGTTGGTGCTCATGGATTTAGAAGATGCTGTCTAAGGAGCTTTCATGAATTTTTGCAGTGTGTCTTATGGATTGAGAACACAGTGCATCAGTGAAGGAGGGAGTTTGTGGTTTCAAACAAACGGGTTGCCTTGTTCTGGATGGTGTGAAGCTTCTTGAGTGTTGTTGGAACTACACTCATCCAGGCAAGCAGGGAGTATTCCATCACACTCCGGACTTGTGCCTTATAGATGGTGGTTAGGCTTTGAAGAATCAGGAGGGAAAAGTTATTCACTGCAAGATTTCTAGCTTCTGTCTTCTCTTTTGGCAGTTTTTATATGGCTAGTCTAGTTCAGTTTCTGGTCAATGGTAACCGCAGGATGTTGATCATGGGGTTTCACGAAGGTAATGCCATTGACATTCAATGGGTGATAGTTAGATGCTGTTTTGTTAGAGATGGTCATGTGCCACACAAGTGTCAGGCAAAATATTACTTGCTACTCATCAGTCCAACACTGGTTATTGTCCAGGTCATGTTGCATTTGGATATGGACTGTTTCAGTATCCGAGGAATTGCAGATGGTTAGGCCTCTAGGACTAAGTAATTTGCAGCAGGGGCTCTAGTGGTGCAGTGGTAGTGTCCCTGCCTCTGGGTCGGGAAGCCCTGAATTCAAGAGGTGTGTAATAACATCTCTGAACAGATTGATTAGAAAAATATCCAAGTAATTTTCAGCAGGGGGTCTTGCAGTAGTGATAGTGCCTCTCTCCCCAGGGCCACGAGACCAGTGTTCAAGTCCTACCTGATCAAGGGATTTTTACAATAGGTCTAGTCAGGTCGATTAAAAATATTTAAGTAATTTGCAAAAGAAGCGAACATGACAATGAAGAAAAGAATGGCCTCAGCCTGGAAACATGGTGGAGGCAGGTTCATTTGAGGTATTCAAGAGGGTATGAGGTGACTGGAGTAGGAACAGCCAAGTAGGATTGCGCAAGAGGCAGGAGACTGACAAAAATGATGCTCATTCAGAAAGCTATACTAGCATGATGGGTTGAATGGATACCTCCTTCACCACAAAAAATTCAATGACACTGATTCTGGGATAACTGCCTTTTAAAAGATAATATAGAGTCAATGCTGTTAGAATGGGACAAACGGTTTACTTGTGCAGTAATCTTTGATTCTGTGATCACTTCATCACTTGTAACTTTTCATAATCAAACCATCCTCTCAGATCTCCGATTTTACAACTTAAACACTCAGCATTTCCAAACCTCTTTCCTCATAAAAAGGAGCAGCATCAAGTGAATTTTGCAAATGTTTCTTCTCCATTGTTTGAAACTCCTTAGTGCTTCAATTGAAATCTGAAAATCTTACATTAAATCTCAACTCTCATTCAAAACACTTTTCCATAAAACCCAGTTTTGCAAGCTGGTTGCAATCAAAATTTATTTTGTGCAGTTGGAATTTTACTAGTGAGTGCAATCTCTATTTATTCCTTGGTACTTACACTTTATTGCTGCAGCTCCCAGATCTAAAGCCCCACTTTCAGTCGTGCTCCACAGATCGATGGGTCCAACAGTGACGATTCCGTTCACAGGCTTAGAGTCGGTTACCAATATATCCCGTTGTAATCTTTTAGCAAACTGCTCAGCAGAACATTCCTTCTAGATGGAGAGAAAGCTCCACTTATTAAAAGATCCGAGTCCACGAAAGGATCAGCCATGATCTTATTGAATGGCGGAGCAGGCTTGAAGGGCCATACGGCCTGCTCCTTGTTCTTATGTTCTTACTTCCAAACAACTGAAGTGATGCTGAAAAATCGGTTTTGTTGACACTGGTCTTGCACTCAGGAATCTGCATGAAACACCAAGGTGAAGGGTATACAACATTTTAACTGTACAAGAGAGTGCTGACTGGTTGGCAAGTGGACTCTGATGATGTGTTGCCATGAAGCATGTCCTAGTTAGATGATTGACTGCTAACTGCCATTTTGTTTAAATTTTAAAATGGCCAACAAAGGGAAATCAGGGATAGTGTTCAAGCCAAAAAGGCATATAAATTGGTCAGAAAAAAAAAAGCAGCAAACCGAAGGACTGGGAGAAATTTAAAATTCAGGAGGACAGAAGGTTCAATTCAGAAGGGGAAAACAGAATATGAAAATACCTTGTGAAAAACCAAACAAAATGAAGAAGGGTCTAGGCCCAAAACATCAGCCTTCCGTCTCCTCTGATGCTGTTTGGCCTGCTGTGTTCATCCAGCTCTACACCTTGTTATCTCAAAAACTGATTGCAAAAGCTTCTATAGATATGTGGAGAGAAAGACTGGTGAAGATAAATGTAGGTCCCTTGCAGTTAGAATCAGGTGAAATAGATGACAAACCAGTTGAATAAATACTTTGGATCTGTCTTCACGAAGGAGGACACAAATAACTTCCCAGAAATTCTAGGGGACAGAGAGACAAGCATAGAGAAAGAAGTGAAGGAAATCCTTAATTTTTCATTGGGTGATTGATCAAGATATTACCCTGAGAAATCAATGAAATAGAAAAGCTGTCACTTTTGTTGAGTTGAAACAGGTAGTATGTACTTTGTCTACTAAATAAAAAAGGTCCCCATGTATTAAAGTGTCATTTCCAATGTACACAAATGCCCCATACGGATACTGACTCACAGCATGACAGTTAATGGTCAATCATTATTAACTGGTACACATGCCTTAAGCAACCCCTCAAGAGTCAGCATTCTCCTCTTACATTATAAATGCTGCTTTCCCTTTACATTGGTATTTTCTATGAACTGCCTTAATGAGTGCAAGAGAAAATGCTTTGAATAACTGTTTATTTTTTCAGCAATGTTCCAATTGTATATGGACAAAAAAAACAGACTTCGGAGGGCCACTGTTTGGAAAGGGCAACAACATAGTTTTAAAACAAAAAAAAAAGCACAGAATGTGATTCATCAGCCCATCAGGTCTATGATGGCTCTTTTCAAGAACAATCCCGTCAGCATCACTTGTCCATCTCTTTCAGCATATTCCTGCAATCTTTGCTCCTTATAAGCATTTAGTCTATTCGTTTTTGGCGGCTACAATTGATTTATTCAGCCAGTGCAGTCCAAATAAAACATGCTTAAAAGCCAATTACCTTAGTTGCATTCTGACCATTGAAAATAGTTAGTTACCTTTTCACAATTAAAAAAAAAAAATGTCCACAAGCTTGGTTACCATTTTGAAGAATACATTTAACTTACCACTACACAATCAGCAGTCCCAGTATGACAGATATTGGCTTGACAATGAAGATAGATGGGGTGGTTTGCTGCTTCAACAAAGTGAAACATCTTGATGGAAAATCGACTACTACTGGAAGCTCCATTTGCAGAATGCAACCTGAATGTCTCATCATTAGGACAGCTAATTGGAAAAGGAAAGCAAGCATTCTTTTACTGTTCACCCCATGAACAGATTACAGCGTGCAGGAGGAGAATCAACATGGTCATCATTATATATAGGTCTGGAAGGGTTAATACTGAGGATTGTCTTAAGCACACAGATATACAGGGCATTGGTGAGGCCACACCTAGAATATAGTGTGCAGTTTTGGTCTTGCTGTAGAGGGAGTGCAGTGAAGGTTTACCAAATTGATTCCTGGAATGGCATGACAAATATAGGAGGAGAGATCAAGTTGGTCAGGATTTTATTAACTGGAGTTTAGAAGAATGGGGAGTTGGGGGAAGTCTCAAAAGCCTATAAAATTCTAGATAGGTTAGATGGAGGAAGGATGATTCTGATGGTGGGGAATCCAGAATCAGGGGTCATAGTTTAAGGATAAAGAGGTAAATCTTTTAGGACTGAGGAGACAATGTCTTCATCCAGAAAAGACAGTGGTAAGCTTGTAAAATTCACACAATCACCTAAAGTAATTGAGGCAAAAACTATTTCCCAAGGAGGTAGATATAGCTCTCACTGCAAAAAGTGCTCAATAGACAGGAAGGTGGGATTAAGAAAAGGTATTGAACACAGATGATAAGCCATGAACACAACGAATGGCAGAGCGGGCGCAAGGTGTCGAATGGCCTACTCCTGCTCTTCTGTTTCTATTGCCCATGATACAAACACTTTATAAGAAAGCTTCTCTCACTCCAAGATCCCAACATCTAGCTCCTTGGTCTCTGTCACAAATGTCTGCCATAGCAATGTAATCTGTAACTAACATACAAGTTATTTCCTGTACAGTACAAACAGCCTCTCATCATTAGACCAGCAAGTAAATTTTAAAAGGTGGTCCCATGCATCCCCACCTTTAGAGGGGGAGGGGGAGGGGCAGGAAGGACGAGAGGGCACGAGAGAGAGGAGAGAGAGAGAGAGAGAGAAAAAAGGGAGTGAGTTGTCACTGTATGAAACAAAAGAAAGGCCTTACAGTCCAAATTGTCCATGCTTATACTCCTCTTCCCATCCCTTTTGTCTCACCCCACCAGCATAAACCTTATGTACCTTTCTCCCTTATATTTACGGGGAAGCTGGACGAACAGCTAGTCTATTTACCTCCTTATCATAATGATTTCCACATTCTCACTAATCTCTGGAATTTCACATTTGATTAATTAGTGACCATTTTCCATAGATGACCCTTGTTTTAATCTCCATCACAGCTTTCTTTCCACACCACTCTGTCCCCAAGCAGCTGCCCATCTCTTTTAGCAATGTCGACTGAGGTGTCATTAGTGATAATTGCTGGTCCAGTGGTTTCAGCAGTTTACTGTCCTGTTCAATTTCTCTCACTGAAGCACCCGTTTTCTTATTTAAAAAGTAAATATCTCCTGCAATTTGCAGCTTCTTGTTTTATGCACATGCATTTCCACTTGTTTTTGGGAGGTCTGTCATTTCCTACAGCCTTGCTTTGAACTCAGGCTGATGCTTCCTTAGCTGCTCTTGCCAAGCCTTATCGTTTTGCCTGAGAGTTGCTTCAAGTTTTCCCTATAGATTGGCAGTCTTGGTTTGAGGATACAGAGCTTGTACTTCATCCTGTTTTTATTTTCCTCCCTCAGCTCTTCGTACATTGTTGTGAACAGAGGTATCCCTTAAAAGGTTTCAGATGATATATTCAGTTTGGGTTTGTTCTTAACTGGTTGCTCAGCCTGTCCTCTCGGATGCCCAGTCCTCTCCAAAAGCAGATAGCAGTGATTTTATTCCACTAACTCATTAGTGCATCATTCAGCTCTGCAAATATTTCTTGAATGAAAAATAAACAAAGAACTGCAGCTGCTGGAAGTCAGAAACTACTGGAAAAACTCAGTAGGTCTGGCAGCTTTGTGTTCTCTCCACAGATCTCTCACACTTGCAGACTTGCTGAGTTTTTCCAGAAATGTCTGATTTCATTTCAGTATTTCTTGAATAATTCCTGCAGTGACTCTGATATATGACAATCAATGTAATCAGTCAGACACCTCAACCCAGCAATCTAAAAAATGTTAGGATCCAGCAATATTGATTTTTCACATGGAATTGGTGAACACAGTCATATGCTCAATTTTTTGCCTCCAGATTGTATCATGGCTTCCCATGTCTAGGGGTACATGTTTTAATGAGAATTTGCAGCGATAGTATATTGACACAGGGACAGGTGCCAATCTTCTGGAATAGCACATGGTTACCAGTTTTCAAAAGACCTTTGGGAACACTACAGATTATATGATGAAACTGATGCTTTCCACAAGATGGAGAGTGTGTAACATGTTCATTCATTGTTCCTTTATGTACTTCAGATTCTGGTTTGACCAATTCATGTACAAGGCAGGATACCATACAACCAGTATTGTAGCTTGAAAAGGTGTTTCTTATTCATGATCATCGGCCTTTACACTAGTACACTGCTTCTACCAAAAGGCCTTTTCTGCCACGTCTTGCAAATTGATTAAAAGCTGAGTATTGCCTCATGGCTTCCCATATTCAGGTGCTCTAGTGATTGTGTCAACTATCAAGTCTGTGCCAGGGATCTGCAAACTTCAACCATCTGAGAGAATTACTTTATACTTGCATCCATCCTTCAATAGCTCTTTGACATTAAAGATTGAACTGTTTTACAGAAATACTTGCTGGACATTTTCATGGGAGCAAATGCAATCACCAACTCAACTATTCTGTTTGCTAGCTCCCCATCTGAAAAGTTACAATGAGCCCTTTTCAGTGCATCTGCTCACAAGTGGCCTGTGGATTCTGTAAATTTGTGTCTCAATGACATTCTAGTCAAAGAATGCAGAAGTTTCATCCAATTCTTAATTGGCCTTCAATGCAATTCATATCTTTTGGGACCTTTTAGCTCTTTAACTGTTAATCCTGAGGTGTTAAATTTGTGTTCCAAATTCCTAAGCTAAAATTTAAACAGCTTGTTTTTATGCAGACACACACACAGTATCAAATGCGCCTTTGACCTTTCTTTGTGTGGTATTGATCTGGCACCCACGCTGATCTTTCCAGCTGTTGCCTGTTTAATTTCTTTTTTTCTTGGAGAAACTATATATTTTAAAATAGTCTGAATCTATAAGTATTTTAAATATAGCAATATTGTATGTAGTTGAAACAAAAATTAAAAAATTATCAAATCAGTTTTAAACTGTTTCAGGTTTTAAATATTCCTAATTTTAACATAGAACAGTATAGGACCGTCGGCCCACAATGTTGTGCCAACCTATTATCCCACTAAGATCAATCTACCCTGCATACCCTACATTTTACTATCCCCCATGTGCCTATCCAAGGGTCACTTAAAAGTTTCTAAAATATCTGACTCCACTACCACTGCAAGCAACGCATTCCACACACCCACCACTCTGAAGAACCTACCTCAGACATCTCCCCTATACCTTCTACCAATCACCTTAAAATCATGTCCCCTCGTAATAGACACTTCCGCCCGGGGAACAAATCTCTGGCTACCCACTCTATCTGTGCCTCTCATCACCTTGTACACCTCTATCAAGTCACCTCTCATCCTTCTTCACTCCAATGAAAAAAGCCCAAGCTCCCTCAACCTTTCCTCATAAGACATGCCCTCCAGTCCAGGAAGCATCCTGGTAAATCTCCTCTGTACCCTCTCTAAAAAGCTTCCTCATCTTTCCTGTAATGAGATGACCAGAACTGAACACAATATTCCAAGTGTGGTCTAACCAGAGTTTTATAGAGCTGCTGCATAACCTCACAGCTCTTAAACTCAATCCCCCTGCCAATGAAAGCAACACACCATACGCCTTCTTTACAACCCTATCAACTTGGGTAGCAACTTTGAGGGATCTATGGACATGGACCCCAAGATCCCTCTGTTTGTCCACACTGCCAAGAATCCTGCCATTAACTCTGCTTTTTGCATTCAAATTCGACCTTCCAAAATGAATCACTTCACATTTTTCTGGGTTGAATTCCATCTGCCACTTCTTTGCCAAGCTCTGTAAAATATTGGAAGAATATCTTTTTTAAAATTTCCCTAACTAGAAAGTAATGGATGTGTGTTTTGACCCCATTGAGGAAATTCACGCCTTTTTGCATTTCTAAAAGAGGAAAGAGTTTTGCTGGATTTTTACTTAAAACTTCAATATTTAGCAAATATTTTTCTGGCCTCTAAACTGCTTCTTCTGGCATGATTCTTCTTCTGTATGTTAGGACAGCAACTGGGAGTGTGCTGTTGGTCTTGACCCGCTGCCTGATGCATCACATTACAAAACAAAAATATTTTTTTCCAATTACCAAGATGATCAACTATCTAGAAAATCAGGTTTAGAACAAAAGATCCGATTTCTTAGATAAAGGCATTGCTTATTATCACCAGAACAAGAGAAAATAGTTCACTTCTATGAACTAAGCAGTTAGCATACAACCAGAAGTATAATGCACATCCTTCCAAAACATCCCAAAACACACTGAAATGAAGGAGCAAAAAAATAGGCCATTCAGCTTGTTGAGTCTGCTCCAGTAAGATCATGACTGATTGGAATCCTCAAAATTTACTTTCCTGCTTTTTCCTCATAACACTGGATTCCCTTATTGATTAAAAATCTCTCAGCATTGACTATTTTTAAAGTGACCCAGACTATGTAGCTCGCTATGGTAAAGACTTCTACAGATTCACTACAAGAAACTTCAGGAGAGAGACAGTGGGAGGGTAAGGCTTTGTGCGGAAAAAAAAAAACATTTTGGCCAGTGGCTTATTCTTGAAGGCAAAGGATAGAACACAGAATGTTTTTAAGAGGCTGGCACTTTGATATTCTGGCATATGTAGTCAAGTGCAATTTCCTTTGGAGTCTTACAATAGCCTGATCAGGAACAGGAGTAGGCCATTCAGCCTCTTTTACATTTTACACCATTCATTGAAATATGGCTGATCAATGGCAAACTCCATTATCCTGCCTTTGGCCCATAGCCTTTAATATCATTGCTTATCAAAAAAAAGTGTTAGATTTAACAACCGATTCTGCATCCACTGCCATTTGAGAGAGAGAATTCCAAACATTTACCGCCTTTTGTGTATAGAAGTGCTTCCTAACATCTCCTCTGAATTGTCTGACCCTAATTCTCAGACTATGCCTTCTCATTCTAGGATCCCCAATCAGTGGAAATAGTTTCTCTTTAGTATATTAACAGGAAAAGACAGGGTAGATAAAGACTTCAAATCAGGTCACTCCTTACCCTTCTAAAGGTTTGAAGAAAACGGACTTAAATTTGTATATTTTCAACTCATACCTGGACTTCAGAGGTTAAGTTATCATTCTTATAAACCTACCTTGTACCGCCTCCAAGGCCATATATCCTTCCCAAGGCTGTTTGCTTACAATATTCCAAGCCATGCTGGTAGAGGAGGGGGCACCAGTGAGGTGGTGGTGATGATCTTACCATGGTTTGTATAACTTCTGCATCCTTGCGCTCCAGTCCTCTAGATATAAAGGCCAGCATTCCACTAGCTTTCTTAAATTTTCTGCACATTTTTAAAATAAAACTTCATTCTGCTTTAAAAAGTATTCAAACACTGATTCCACTGCCTTTTACCAAGAAGAGATTTTCAACAACCACTGAACCTTAAAAAGGAAACAATTCTTAGCAATTTTAAATAGGCAGCCACTTGTTTTAGAACAGTGGCTACATGTTCTGGTTTCTCCCACAAAAAAAAGGGGATCATCCTGTCTGTACCTATCAAGTTAAGAGACCTCAAGAATCTCAAAATGTTGGGTTGAAGTGCTATGGAGAGTGGGCAGGAAAGTGGAGTTGTGGCTGAGATGAGATTGGCCATGATTTGTATTAAATGATGGAGCAGGCTCAAGGACTGAATTGCCTACTCCTAGTTCTCACGTTTAATCGAGTTCCCTCTTGGTCTAAATTTCTAAAAGATCCAATCCTAGCCTGTCCAACCTTTCCTCCCAAGATGACCTGTATTAGACTGGAAGCAGTTCGGAGCAAGTTTACCAATGCATTTATCTCTATGCTTAAATAAAGATGATCAACACTGTGCACAATATTCTAAACATGGTCGCATCAACACACTGTATTCATCAGTGTCCAACAAGCGATTCCCCTGACAGTGGGAACAGCACCCCTCACTCCCAACCACTTTGTTTACTCTATCAAAACCCTTCACAACTATAAAAGGAACAAAGGAACAAAACTGAAAATAGATTTGGGGCTAGCAGTTTTTCCTCTGGTCTTTTGTTCAATTAAAATGACAATGACAGAGAGAACATTCTACTCACCCATCTTGAAGGAAGTGGAATTTCCTCTTCTCTTGAGAGTCAGGTGTGGTCGTTGCCCAACACGAAGCTACTTGCAGAACAAAAGCAGTGCCAAAAGCCCCAGAGAATTTGACCTCCAAATAGAGATCATCATTCAGCCAAATTGCTGGACTTGCCTCATAAACAGCATCAGGCGAAAAAGTATCGTCTTTGTACAGGGTCATGGAGAGTTGGAGTTTCGCTTCATGGTACTGCACGATAGGCTTAAAAATCCTCAGCAAAAACAAGAAAAAAAAACAATTGTGAAACGTTACGGACTTGTAATACCTCAAAAGAAAAGCTAGACCACAAATAGAAACGAGCCACAAATAAATCCAGGAGAATGGTTTAGAACATGAAACTTGCCAACAAATGGAGCGGAATTGGTTGAGATGAATATTAAAGTTATATTTAAGGGGAATCTGAGTAAATACTATGAAGAAAGGAACAGACAATATGTTGAGACTGGATGAAGGAAGCTGGGTAGTAGTTTATGTAGAAATCCAGATTTGTATTTAGAGTGCCTTTATGACCTTTAGACATCACTGAGCTTCATTGGCTGTAAAGCACTTTTCGGCTGTAAATGTGGGGATAAATAGTGAAAAGGAGACTGGTATTATCTAACAGCACTCCTTTTCTTCAAAAGTAGTGTCATGAAATCTTCGCAATTAAAATCAAGAACAAAAATGAGTTTTCATTGCCCCTTTATCGCAATGATGGCTCCTCTAACAATGAAGCTTTTCCTCATGACTTGCACTAGAACATCAACTCAGATCTTTGCACTCAAGTCAGTGGAGTGGGACTTGAACCAATAAACTCTGACCCAGAGGCATGAGGGTAACCCAGCCACATCCAACATGAGAAAGAGCCAAGACAGATGCAGTGGTACAAATGCATAACTAATTCTAATTTAGGCTTGATGTTCTCTCTATTAGTCCAAACTAACAATGATATAACCTGGGCACAGTAATCCCAAAATTATTTAAAAGATCAACCTCACATTCTGTGCTATATTTTCTTTAAACTATATTCTACATAAGTTCCCAAAACCTCCTCTTAAAAGAAAAAAAATCAGACAGTTGTTTGATTGCCAGACAGACATCGAGGGGTCTGTTATTTTCAAAGGCAAGACAGACAAAATTCTTGGTCATTTTCATCCACCTCACTCCCTCTTCTCTTGGCGCTCAACGATCATCATTAAACTCACAAGCATGGTAAATGTAAAGAGAGTAAAGATTGTTTACCTGATGTGTTGGGGGGCTTGCAGAGACATGTTCACCAAGGATCTACGTAGATAGGCACATTTGACTTCAAATATTAGTGGCTCTTCTCGGATTATTAAATCAGAATGGAACTCATTAGTGATGACATGTTTAAATATGCTGTGAGTCTCATTTAGCTAAAAAAAATTGGAGACACAAAATAGTACTTTAATCTCCTTTGTTTTACAATCAAAAAGTTGAGACTTCATCTATTACCAGTTTTAATTTTACAAAGATTTACTCAAACTTGAAATGCAAACTGAATTTAAAATTAAAGTTAAAAAGTTCATTCACATATACCAAGTCTAAAGTATTAGAAAATTCAATTAACACAGAAGTCAGTCTAGATCATTACTTCACATAATATGTCTCTAGCCTTAGCTACCGTCTGAGGAAGAAAGTTCTTTCTTACCAGCAGCTGTCCTCCACAGTAATCCTGGTTTTTAGTAATTGTGAAAGTGTAATACTCTGGCCCTTCTTTGACAGCACAGCCACCATCATTCAAGACCAGGTTTGTTCCGGTCTTCACCCGATCCGCTAAAAATTCTTTTGATACGATTATTTCCATTAAACCTGGTTCACAACGTGTGAACACTCCATGATCTAACGAGACAAAACCAAAAACAAGACAAGCCCTGGAGCAGAGAGACATGTACATCACAACACTCAACGTTTGACACAAAAAAAAAATCCTTCCTGTAGTTTAATACCCTGTTACATTACCACTGAGAAATCCCAGTAGTTTTAGTTGCTCTATTGGGCTACATCACAGAATCTACAGCAAAAGGTGACCACACTTAGCCTCACTTGTCAACATATTGTTTACGTTGAGTCTCCTACCACCTCAGGACTATCCTACTACTCCACCTCATCAACCTAAATTTATGTTATTTACTTCCCCCTGCACGTGGCAGTAAGTTCCACATTCTCACACATCTCTAGGTAACAAAGTTTCTCTTGAATTCCCTTTTCAATTCATTACAGAGCATTATCTATTTTATGCCATGCTCAAAACTAGGACCTGCAAGTCTTCTTTACAAGATTAACCTGTGAGATCTCTATTAGGGCTCCCTAGAGAGGGAAAAAAAAAAGAGATAAAACAAAAAGTGCTGGAGAAACCCTGCAGGACTAACAGCACCTGTGGAGAGAGAAACAGTTAACACTTTGCATCCAATGTGGCTCTGCAGAACCAGAAAAGGTCCCATTTAGTTAATTCTTCAGTGTTGGTATCAGCCTTGGAAATCTTCATTTGCACCTTATGACAGAGACCAGAAATGTGTACTGTGCTCTAAATGCACTCCGGAGGTTCTAACACAAGATTCCCATTTTTCAATGCGAATTTTCTTTAAAAAAAGTGAACCCCAGGGCTTTAACTACCTCCTTTGTAACATCATTAAAATGGTTTGAGGGAGAGGTTTTGCATGATGGACATGGTCTTTTGGATAGTACACGTACAGGCCAATACAAATAATCTAAAATGTCAATTTGATCCCCGAATTGCTTGATGTAGTTGACAGAGGTTGTAAAGATATTGTTTGGTGAGTTTTTAAAACATGCTTTGATTAATATATTGTTTGTGAAACAGTTCTAAATTGTCTAATGACTAATTGCAGCTGCAGACAGCACAGGAAGCCAAAAAAAGAAAAAAGGGTGTCACTATTTGTTCACCGGTTGTGACTGCCGTTAGCTAGGGCAGCATTTGTCACCCATCCCCAAATGCCCAGAGAGGTTTTCGACAAAAAGAAAAAAAAAAGACATTGCTGGAGAGAAAACAGATGCTGGAGTTTCTCCAGCAATTTCAGTTTTTGCTTCAGATTTCCTCCATTTGCACATCTTGGTTTTATTTTAGTGTTTGATACAACTGAGCTCTCAGGGCAGTTAAAAGTGATATATGTTACTGTGAAGTCATGTGTATGCCACACCAAGTAAGGATTTTATTTCTCTGTTCACTAGATGCTGAGTTTCACCAGCACTCAATTTCAGATCTCCCGCACCCATGGTAATAATAAGAGCCAAGTACCAGCTGCTCAGTTAACACCATTGTAATTGCCACTACGACTTACACATTGTTCTAAAGCCAGTATGTGGGCTCAGTATTTTTGGCAGAAAATCAGTAGTCACATGAGGGGAAGAAAGGAACAACAAGGGCAAGGTGACACTGGCAGTAGTTTATAGGTCCCCTTACTGTAGTAATATGGTGGAACAAAGAATAAAATCAGATGATAACAAGAGCATGTTTAGAAAAAGGCAGTACATTGTAAATCTACATGAACATTTAGTGATTAAAGTCAGATTGGCAGAAGTGGCTACAGGGAAGAATTCATTGGGTATATTCAAAACAGTTTCCAAGATCAATATGTTGTGGATCCAACCACATATTAGGCTATTTTGGATCTTATGTAATGAAGCAGGTTTACCAAATTCTCGGTGAAAGCCACTCTTTCCTGGGGATCCGAACACCACCATAGAATTTAATATTCAGTTTGAGATGGAGAAACTTGGGTGGGAGCAAATGTGCTAAACTCAAGTAAGGGCCATTACAAAAGGAATGAGGCAGACCATGATAGAGCAAACTTTGAGAGGAGTTTAGTAGCAATGATGGCTGAGGAACAACAGCAGACATTTAAAAAAAGATAGTTCACAGCTCACAGCAAAGACAGAGAGAAAGGAAGATTCTAGAATGGAGACAAGCTACTGGTTAAAACAAAAGGAAGTCATTGAAAGCATTAAATTGAAAGGAAAAAAACAGCATACAACATGGCAAAGATTAGTGGTAAACTAGAGGATTAGGGAAGCTTTAAAAACCAAATGCTTACCAAAAAAAGTAATCAAGCGAGAAAAGATAAACATTAGTATTACTTGCAAGTAATATCAAGTTAGACTGTAAAAGCTTCCTTAAATATTTTAAAAAGGCCAAAAAAGTGAACACAAGTCCCCGAGGAGAATGAGGCTAGGGAAATTCATGAGAAAGCAAGAAATGGCAAAGGAGTGGAATAAATACTTTGCAACAGTCTTCAAATAATAGAAACACACACAATCTAGACACTAAAGAAGGATAGGAAATAAATACAACTATCACTAGAGGAAATGTACTAGGGAAATTCAAGACAGATATATCCCCTAGACTTGATGGGGTGTATCCCAGGATAATAAAAAGCAGTTATATAGATATTGGATGCACAGGTAGTAACCTTTTGGAGAATCCTTAGATTCTGGAAAAGTGCAGATGACACTAAGATGAGTGGCAAAGCAAAGTGTGCAGAGGACTGTGAAACTTTGCAGAGGAACATAGATACGTTGAGTGAGTGGGCAAAGGTCTGGCAGATGGAATACAATGTAAATAAATGTGAAGTCATACATTTTGGTAGGAGTAATAGTAAAAAGGATTATTACTTGAATGGTAAAAAGTTGCAGCATGCTGCTATGCAGAGAGACCTGGGTGTCCTTGTGCATGAATCACAGAAGGTAGGTCTGCAGGTACAACAAGTAATTAGGAAGGCAAATGGAATTTTGTCCTTCATTGCTAAAGGGATTGAAATTAAAAGCAGAGAGGTTATGTTGCAGCTGTACAAGGTGCTGGTGAGGCCACACCTGGAGTACTGTGTGCAGTTTTGGTCTCCTTACTTGAGAAAGGATGTACTGGCACTGGAGGGGGTGCAAAGGAGGTTCACTGGGTTGATTCCGGAGTTGAGGGGGTTGGCTTATGAGGAGAGACTGAGTAGATTGGGATTATATTCATTGGAATTCAGAAGATTGAGGGGGGATCTTATAGAAACATATAAAATTATGAAGGGAATAGATAAGATAGAAGTAGAGAGGATGTTTCCACTGGCAGGTGAAGCTAGGACAAGAGGGCATAGCCTCAAGATTAGAGGGAGCAGATTTAGGACTGAAGTGAGAAGGAATTTCTTCACCCAGAGGGTTGTTAATCTATGGAATTCCTTGCCCAGTGAAGTAGTTGATGCTACTTCAGTAAATGTTTCTAAAAAAACAAAAAAAGAGGTAGTTTTTTTTGAACAATAAAGGAATTAAGGGATACGGTGAGAACGCGGGTAAGTGGATCCGAGTCCACGAAAGGATCAGCCATGATCTTATTGAATGGCGGAGCAGGCTCGAAGGGCCAGACGGCCTACTCCTGCTCCTAGTTCTTATGTTCTTATGTTCTAATGGAAGATTGTCAGTTGTCCAATGTAACATCTTTATTTTAGAAAAGGAAAGATCTCAACATCTGTGTTTGTGAAAATATTTAGAACCTATTATAAACTGTAATAGCAGAGCATTTAGAAACACAATGCAATCAGCAGTGTTAGCATGGCTTCATGAAGGAGAAATCATGCCTGACAATTCAAATACTTTGATATAATAAGCAGGATAGATAAAAGGGGGAAGCAGTGGACTTTTTAAATATTCATTTTTTGTGGGACGTGGGTATTGCTAGGTGGCCAGCACTTATCACCCGTCCCTAGTTGCCCTTGAGAAGGGGTGGTTGAGCTGCTGTCTTGAACTGCTGCAATCTACCTGCTGTAGGTTGATCCACAATGCCCTTAGGGAGGGAATTCCAGGATTTTTACCAAGCGACAGTAAGGAACAGCGACATATTTCCAAGTCAGGATGGTGAGTGGCTTGAAGGGGAACTTGGAGGTGGTGTTACATGTATCAGCTGCCCTTATCCTTCTAGATGGCAGTCATTGTGGGATTGAAAAGGTGCTGTCTGGTGAATTGGTGAATTGGTGAATTGCTGCACTGCATCTTGTAGATACCAGCATCAGAATGTCCTGAATGGTGGTAGATGGGCTTGTGGATGTGGTGCCAATCAAGCGTACTTCTTTGTCCTGGATGGTGTTAAGCTTGAACGTTGTTGGAACTGCACCCATCCAGGCAAGTAGGGAGCATTCCATCACACTCCTAACTTGTGCCTTGTAGATAGTGGACAGGCTTTGGGGAGTCAGAAGGAGAGATACTCGCTGCAGTATTCCTAGCTTCTGACCTGCTTTTGTAGCCACTGTGTTTATGTGGCAAGTCCAGTTGAGTTTCCGGTCATTGGTAACCCACAGAATGTTGAGAGGCTGGGGGATTCAGTGATGGTAACACCACTGAATATCTCATATTGATGGTCATAGCCCGGCATTTACATGGCACGAATGTTACTTGCTACTGGTCAGCCCAAGTTCAAATATCGTCCAGATCTGGTTGCATTTGAACATGGACTGCTTCAGTATTTGAGTCGTTGCAAATAGTGCTGAACACTGTACAATCATCAGCGAACATCCCCACTTCTGACCTTAATATTTAGACTTCCAGAAAGTGCTTGATTAGATACCACACATTAGGCTGCTTCAGAAGACAATAACCCATGATATTGGAGGTAGCATATTAGCATGGACAGAGTTGGGAAAAGGGGTAAATTTCAGGTTAGTAATCCATAACTAGTGGAATGCTACAGGGAACAATGCTGGGGCACAATTATTTACAATATAGTATCTTGGATTAGGAAAGGTGAATGTAGAATAGTCAGGATTTGCAGATGAAAAGAAATGGGAAGGCAAGTGGCGATGATGATAGTTTGCAGTGGGATATGGAAAGGTTAAGTGAGTGGCCAAAAAAACTTGGCAAGTGGAATACAATTTGGGAAAGAATGGGAGGTTATGCATTTTGGCAGGAAGAATAAAGGAGGTGAATTTTTGCTTTCTTTAACTGGAAAGAAAAAGACCGAACAAATTGGGCTCCCCGTGCATGAATCACAAAAACCTAGTATCCAAGTCCAGCAGGTAATGGGAGAGGGAAGTAGAATATTGGCTTTTATTGCAAAAGGAAGTGGAGTATAAAATTAGGGAGATCTTGCTAAACCATTTTTAAAAAAGCACTAGTTAGACCATGCCTGGAAGACTGAACAGTTTTGGCCCCCTTATCTAAGGAAAAATATTCTGGCGTTAGATGCAATCCAGAGAACGTTCTCTAGACTGACCCTGGATATGGAGAAAAGGTCTCAAGGAGAGATTGAGACTGCATTCATTGAAGTTTAGAAGAACGAAAGGTGACCTTATTGAAATATGCAAGATTCTTAGGCAGTTTGCTAGGAATAGATGCAGGAAGATTGTTTTCCCCCTTGTAGGACAGTCTAGGGCCAGGTCAGAGACAGATGAAGAGGAGTTTCTTCTCAGGTTAGTACATCTGAAACTTTTAAAAAATACTGTAGATTTGTAGGTGTAGAGCTGGATAAACACAGCAGGCCAAGCAGCATCAGAGGAGCAGGAAAGCTGATGTTTCGGGTCTAGACCCTTCTTCAGAAATGGGATTCTGAAGTAAATAGGGAGAAAGAGGGAGGCGGACAGAAGATGGATAAAAAGGAGAAGATAGGTGGAAGAGACGACAGACCGGTCAAGGAGGCGGGGTTGGAGCCAGTAAAAGGTGAGTGTAGGTGGGGAGTTAGGGAGGGGATAGGTCGGTCCAGGGAGGACGGACAGGTCAAGGGAGCGGGATGAGGTTAGTAGGTAGGAGAGGGGGGTGGGGCTTGAGGTGGGAGGAAAGACAGGTTAGGGAGGCGGGGACAAGCTTGGCTGGTTTTGAGATGCGGTAGGGGAAGGGGAGATTTTGAAGCTTGTGAAGTCCACATTGATACCATTGGGCTGCAGGGTTCCCAAGCGAAGTACGAGATGCTGTTCCTGCAACCTTTGGGTGGCATTGTTGTGGCACTGCAGGAGGCCCAGGATGGACCTGTCGTCCAAGGTGTGGGAGGGGGAGTTGAAATGGTTTGTGACTGGGAGGTGCAGTTGTTTGGTGTGAACAGAGTGTAGGTGTTCCACAAAGCGGTCCCCAAGCCTCCGCTTGGTTTCCCCGATGTAGAGGAGGCCACAACGGGAACAGCAGGTACAGTATACCACATTAGCAGATGTGCAGGTGAACATCTGTTTCATGTGGAATGTCTTCTTAGGGCCTGGGATGGGGGTGAGGTGTAGCACTTCCTGCAGTTGCACGGAAAAGTGCTGGGTGTGGTGGGGCTGGAGGGGAGTGGGGAGCAGACAAGGGAGTCACGGAGAGTGGTCCCTCTGGAAAGCAGATAAGGGTGGGGAAAAGAAAAAATGTCTTTGCTGGTGGGGTCAGATTGCAGAAGTGTCAGTGGATAATGCGTTGGATCCAGAGGTTGGTGGGGTGGTACGTGAGGATGAGGTGGATTCTGTTTTGGTTATTATTGTGGGGAGGGGGTGTGAGGGATGAGTTGTGGGAAATGCGGGAGACATGGTTGAGGGCGTTTTTGACCACTGTGCAGGGGAAGTTGCGGTCCTTGAAAAACGAGGACAAGGACATCTGGGATGTCCAGGAGTGGAATGCCTCATCTCGGGAGCAGATGCGGCAGAGGCAAAGGAATTGGGAATAGGGGATGGCCTTTTTGCAGGTAAGTGGGTGAGAGGAGGTGTACTCTCGGTAGCTGTGGGAGTCGGTAGGCTTTATCCATCTTCTATCCACCTCCCCCTTTATTTCAGAATCCCCTTCCCCTCCCCCATTTCTGAAGAAGAGTCTAGACCCGAAACGTCAGCCTTCCTGCTCCTCTGACGCCGCTTCGCCTGCTGTGCTCATCCAGCTCTACATCTTGTTGTCTCAGATTCTCC